AGGGTGACACGGTCGAATATAGATAGGGTGACACGGTCGAATACAGATAGGAACAGGTACTCCTAACCCGTTGATCGGCGGACTATCTCCAGGAGGGATCAGAAGTTCTTCCGGACGAACGACGACCATCTCGCGATATCTCTGCGCAATCAGTCGGCAAACTTTCTTTGGGAGCTCTGCGTGCCCCTCGTAAAGATGTGTACTGGCGTGGCTGACAGCGTGACCGTGAACTCGGCAAATCAAGATCTGATACATCTCATTATAAAGATACGGATCCAACTGCGAAGGAGTGTCGCTTATTATCTGGTTACGGGTGGAAGGCAGAATATTGACAGAAGGATTTCGAGGTAGAGTCAGCCTAAGATCAAGATACGCCGCGGGTGTAGTGAGGTCGATAGGGTGAGGGGAGAGTAGTTTAGGAGGGTGGGATGGGGTGATGGTCGGGAGCCGTGGATGTTGCGGTACATTCTCACCAAGATCCCGGAGTGGTCTTCTCTCGGACGGTGGAAGGGGTGTAAGAAATTCGTGCCACTGCTGGGACGCCTGACGATACCTCTCCAAGAGAGCCGGCTGGAGTTTCTCGGGAAAGTCAACGTCAATCCCATAGTTGGCTGCCCGCTGTAAGGGCCGGTGCCCACTCTGCCAGACAAGAGCTCGGTTCGCGTCGGCGTGAGGACCGACATCACAGTATAGATCTGTCGGTTGGATGACATGCCGAAGATGTTTCTCGGTCATGGCAGTCGTGATCTGGCGATAGAGTTGGACACCAAGAGGGACTTTTAGAACGGCTTGGCTGCTCTTCCGAAGCCAACGGGTCAGATCGTTTGTACTCCAATGGCGAGGAAGGGGTTGCTGGGCAATAAAAGGGTTAGAGGCGAAGAGAGAGCTCGTGGTGCGGTGACCAAGAGCGCGGCGTAGGAGGAGATCCACCAAAGGTCGGATGAAGACCAGGTAGTAGTAGATCAGCTTATTAACGGCGGGTGGAAAGAAGCGGGCCACGTGAAACTCACGGCCGGTGATACGCTGACTTTTAGCGGCTCGATAGATGGTGCATATAGATCCCGCGTAGATATAGATCCCGCGCAGAGCGGTCGATCTGTTCCAAGCACCTAACCTCGAAAGATCTGGGGTGCGAGGACATTGGCCACCGTGGACAAAAAAGATCTGAAAGAGTAGAACTAAGAAGGCTTCATGGAGGCGTAGATACTTCCACACGGCTGTCTGGACCCATTGATTATTCTGGATAAGGGGACACGGCCCTTCTTGACAGATACGCGATGAGAGGTGGAGGTAGGCTCCCTGGAGATCATTGCGCGGATCCTGGACAAACGAATAACCAGGCGTGGAGCAGCTGATAAGGTCGCGAACGTTCCTCAAATCATAGGGAGGGGACCAGCCGCCCATCAGTTGGTGACAGAGCTCCGATGCCTCACTTACTAGGCTTTGGGCGAACTGGCGGAACAACGACAACCGGAGATGGTGTCCCTGAAAAGAGAGAGTCTGGCCATCGTCACTCCACTGGAAGAAGAATGCGGCACCCTCGGAGCCGAGGAATTGTCGACCAAATTGGAGGAGGCTAATACACTCCTGGATTGGGGTGAGACATCCCGCACAGATATACTGTCGCCGCATGGCCTGTAGGATCGAGAGCTGTCCCTGCGATGGTCGAGCAGAAATGCCTAGCTGGGGATAACCATATATTGGGAGTACTGACTCAAGAAGGAGAAGAGTCTGCTGATGGATCAACGCGGCCAAAGTTTGCGTATACGTCCGTGGACGGTGATATCCCTGGCCTCCCGGCGTAAAGCCAAAGATGCCGCTCAAGAAGACAAGGACACTGGAACTCGGGCGGCCATTTGAGTACTCTTGGGTACAGAGAAGTAGACTGAATTGAAAGACCAGGTCAGAGAGAGAAGGCTGACGGGTGACGGAGTTCAGATCAGATGTCGGTGAGGGGGATGAAATGACAGCTTCGAGCGGCATGTAGGAACAATCCTCTTCCTCAGAGAGGTAATCGTCGTCCTCCTCTTCATCATCAATCTCATCCTCGTCCTCAGAATACTTATCATCCTGGTCGCAATCTGGATCATCTTCGGACGCTTTATCGACTAAGTCCACTAGATCAGTTTGGTGCCACATCTCCTGTAAACAAGCGTGTTGTTCTCTGGTGACGGGAACACCGAGCATAGATTGTTGTACATAAGATAGTCGGGAGTAGCGTAGACAGAACGCGAGACATCTCTTCCACAATCGTCGGTAGCGGCGTCGAGTTGAGTCCCGTAAGACCAGTTGAAATGGTGCTTTGTATGCTTGGTCCAAAAATCGACTTCTCAACCAGCAGAGAAAAGGATGGGGTGTCGCGCGGACAGTATCCTCACACCGGGTAAAGACACTATCAACTGTGCGAAGGATGGAGGAGATTCGAGTCTCGGCCTCAGGCGAACTGCGGATAGGAACGTTCTCGGACATGGACCGCCCAGGGCGAGAAGTGAGTGTGCCGAGTAGAAAGCCCGCGCGCTGGGTCTGGCGTGTAGGTAGCTGGGTCATCTGAAGTAAGATATCTCGGCGTAGATGGCCGTATGTGTCGATCCAGCCCGTCCGCTCAAACCAAGGAGTCATGGCAGGGTCAGCGCGGTGAGAATCATGATCCAGGGACGGAATAGACGCCATCTGCTCTCTTTCCTCCTGGTGGATAGAGAAAAGAAGGGTCGAGGATGGAGGGGAAATGGGGGCCTGCCAGGTTCGTGTATCGACTAACTTCTCCGTCCTCGGTCAACACTTGCGGTGGCTCAGAGGGAGAGGACGCTTTCGCTTACGATAAGTCGGTAACGGAGTGAGTGTAACGGCGCGAGGAATCGCCAATACAATCCAGTATTGCCGCCCGGCTGAGCCTGACGTGGTCCACTGCTGAAGAGAAACCGGTCGATAGTCGCGGTCGGCGATGGTGTCGAGGTGCTTGATGTTATGCTGGCTAGAAAGATGGCGCCTGAGAAGTTGTTGGCTGGTGGTCCGGCTGGAACAATGTCCGCACGCAAACCCGGGTGTTGTGGTGAGGCTGGGGTCCTCGGGGCAGAAATCGGCGCGAGCGGAAAGCTCAGAAATGTCAGTCAAGAGAAGAGTCCCGAGGTCAGGCACTTGAGTCTGCCGGCTAGCACTAATTGAGTGGGCTTCGGTAAGATGTTGCTGGACGAGGCGCGGATGTACGCGTAACGCTCGTCGACACAATGTGCAAATCAACGCGTTCTCGGGAGTGCTGACAATGAGATTGAGGCTGCGAAGCCAGGGTGGAGAGGACATGGTGTGAATAGAAGAGCAAGAAGCTCGAATCCTGTCGATCTTATATACCTCGGGAGTTGAGGGACGCGATGGGCCATCGAGTGTAAGAGTGTATGGCTCGGCGAGGCTGAGATTTCACGCTACAGAATATTTCACGCTACAATGTGATTTCACGCTACAGCCCAAACCTTAATTTTTCCACCACCTATTCTCGGCCCCGATCCACGCTACATGTCTGACCCTAAACTACTAGGGTCCTCTTGGATAGGGCTGGCACTGGCTGCTCTGCGACAGACGGGTAGGGGACATCAGAGGAGCTTCGTGCCGACCATTCTGCGAAGCGAGCGTGGACGGCTTTCAACGCCGCACCTTTCAACTGGTGTGGTTTGGCACGAAAATGATTATTTATTGAGTTGAGGGAATCCACCACCACACCAGATTCACAACGATGACAGATCACCACTCCTAGGGGTTCTTCAAAGTGCAGACGCTCTTGCATCGTAACTGATGAGTGTATCATCTATTGTAATAATTAGGAGCTCACCACAGACTGTCTAGAGCCGACTACGCTGTCGTCGCTCCATCTCGACACATGTTATGCCATAACATGCCAAGCCCTCCCCTGAACCAAACTCCATGCGGCAATCCACTAACCCGAAATCGCCTACCCCGGACATGTTATGCCATAACATGTCGCCAGACTAGTGATAGGTCGCGCTCTCAGGGCGTACTCATGTGTCCTCGGTCCGGGGCCTGTCGGGGAAAGAATGGAAGGGCGCCAGTGGAAAAGGATGGAGGTGGGATCGGCGACCCCGCACCGACCCCGCCCCGGCGCTCCGATTGGGCGGCGGAAAAGGACGCGGGTTCGATCCCTTCCCGCCGCGGTTTAGTAGTACAGGAGGCAAACCAAGCCTGGTTCTGCATGAAAATCAGGTCAAGACTATGCGCCAAACTGAACTCGTGGTGGCAGCAGTTTTCTGTACCACCAAACACTACATTGTAAACAAACCGGGACCTAATCCCGAAGATGGGCCAAAGCCTCTCGCACTACCATCCCAAGAAACACACTCGCCCTGCATGACGCATCGAGTGTTCCGCCAATATTATCACTGCGTCAATGGAGAGAAAAATGTATTGCGACTATACGTGCTGGGATAGGAGAAGCCTGGCCCAAATTTTGTACCTATGGCCCACGCCTCGAATTGTGTTTCCAAGCTCAACATTCACTAATGCTTGGTGGTGGATCTTGCCATAACGGTGCGCCGTCAGGTTGGCGAGAACTAAACTCGTACTCATACCTCCCGCCGGTACAGTTCAACCGAATATGTCCAGAGATCATTAGACATGAATGCTTTCAACTACTTGATCAAGGAGAAAGCGCGGATCTCTAGTGTCAACCCAGCCGCAAAATTGACCAGCCATCTGACTGAAAGACGGAGAAAGAAGTTCCATGTCAGCATATTTGTAGTTATCACAAATAAAGGGGTAATAGAAGGGACAGGACTTACTATCCAACCATTTTCTGAATATGAGGCGGGTACTTCTTCATCGTCTCAAGGGGAACCGAAAGATACTGGTTTTCTTCCTGGCGCAAATAGCCTCGCGTCATGAAGCAGCTGTATACGAGGCGTTCCTCATCTGCTGTCGTGTTTGCACTGCCTCCATGATAGCAGCTGGCCAACATAATGAAGGCATCGCCCGGTTCCAACTAAGGATGACAAGATATGATAAGTCGAAGCTCTATCCACTTGATCGAATGATGTGGCATCAGTACTCACCTCGGCGTAGTATGCCAATGACTCATCCGGTGCTCTCTCGTGTGCCCAGAGGTGGCTTCCGGGAATAAACCTGGTCGCCCCGTTCTCTTTGGTGGTCTTTGTTCCTGCCACAAAGAGACCCAGCGCACTATCACGACGGTTTGACACCAAGTCATCGGGGTACGCATCCAGAGCAGGATTGACGACGAGGTGAGTCATGTCATCCCGATGCAGTGGTTGGTCCTTTGAACCGGGACGTACACTGACGACCGATGAGAGGTTCAGCTGGGGGTCTGCAAAGGTCTGTGTCTTTTCTGTTCCTTGCCAACACCAGAATTCGGTCCTCAAAAATGCCTTTGCAACAGCCATATAGAGAGGATGTGCAATCATCTCAGTAGTTGTCGTTGGGGAATGAGCGATCAGGGCTGTACAGCGTCTGGTCTCTCGAGGGAAAAATTCGCCTGAGTCGAGGTTTTAGTATTCTGTTACTATTTCTGGCAAGATGGGATGTTCTATGTTGCAAGGAATCATGTTGTTGCTTACCCCCCCATTCTCCGTCTTGCTCCAACCGTGCCCTGATTTCCTTCTCCATCTTGCCGAGGGTCTCTTGTGAAATAAAGTTTCGAATGATGACGCCGCCAGCTAACTTGATGGCGTTTATGACATCCTCGAGAGGAGCATCGATCGGGAGACTCTGGACTTTGGGCTGGGACTTCTGGGGCACCGAAACATATTTCGGGCCAGTAGGAATTTCCGTCAAGCCTGGAGCCATCTTTGTATACGAAGGTGTGTAGGTATTGCTGAAGAAGAATGGACAAGACTGTAACCAGGAATGCTCCGGGCTTCCGTCAGCTTATATATCAACCGATCTACTATGTTTCAGATACCAGGACAGACAATCATGTTGACACCATGTGAGCTAACGTGGATTGACACGATGAACGGCGCTAGCCGCAAGAATGAACCAAGAATGGACATGGGCCAGACTGGTGATAAGAACTTTGAAGTCAGATTCCAGGCATCATGATTCTCGGCTAGCCTGTGGGTGCACGGTTGTCTCAGGATCATCAGAGAGCAAGTCTGGTGGCAGATTCGTCTACCAAAACGGCAACCTCTATTCCAGTCTGCTACTCGCACTTTGTAACCGTTTTCGGCTTATATTTATGTCCTAGGTCACAGGCATGTGCCAAACATCTATCTACTTTGGTGGTAGTGCAACCACCACGGAGAACTCAAACTTGCAGCCTGGGTAACCAAGCGCTGGAACAGTTACCGCCGTCCAACCGGGTTGATGTCCTCGCAGGAAGCTTCCAGCAACTTTCGCCAATGGCTTGTCTACTTCTGCAACCCCTCCAACGTGATAGCTTGTGATCTGGACGATCGACTTCCAGGCATCTTCTGCCGACAAACTTGGAGCTGCAGTCCTGATGGCTTTCTCGCAGTTCTGTAAGACCCATTATAAGCACTGCAGTCTATAGTTTGGTAGCACATGAATTCTTACCTGGAACGCCTTTTGAAACTGGTCCTCAATATCCTCGCTGAATTCCAACCCACCGTCAGCCACGGGACCGACCATGCCCGCGGTGAAGAGAATTGCAGATCCTGGCGGGATCACGACGCCGGATGAAATGCCGTGCATCTTATTGAAGATCTCATATCCAGGGTAGTTGGAGCACTGTAGAGGGACGGCCATTGTCGAGAACTCTAAGATGATGACTGAGATGTCGGTTTTGTCTGGTTGGTGTCGGCTGGTTGGTGGTTCTGATAACAACTTGCAGTGTATGACTGGTGTGGAAATTATATAGATTGGAAGAATATGAGTCTGTGGATTATTTGGGTCGCTGTGTCCTTATGGAATCGCAGAACCTATCCACCATCAAAATCCGCCACCAGCCGAAAGCGGCGTGAAGAGCCAGTGATAGGACTGTGATTGGGGAACTTCAAGAATTGGACATGGACTCTTGATTGGAGCAAGACCCTGGTATCAATTCTGCCGAACAAGCCGAAGACATGTCCATTCAGGTTCACGGAGATACTTCGCGCTAGTCGCAATCTCGATCCTATATCGGAATGGTGAACTTGTAAGTGGGTATAAGTGGGACCTGTCCAGATAATCCTCGTGATTCTAGATTACGTTATTCTCTACACGTCGCCGGACCATGATTATCGATCGAAGTTCAACCTCCCTAGATAGGGCAAAATGGTGCGCCTAGCGTTCCCCAATCTTGTTCGACTAGGAGTTTCATTTGAAGTTCCCAGATGCCACGTACATAGATCCGAGTTAACGACTTTCATCCCGCTTTGCGCGTCTGGCCCTAGGCGCACCTCTGGCCCCGATTTGGTCTAGACGCCTCCAGGTGTCTGTTAATGGTCGCGCCGAAACTCTGGTTCACGTCTGATGTCTCTTATCTTGTTCAGTCGGGGAAACGAGTCTATGTCGACCATTCAAGTTAACGTGAATATGCTGACGCCGCCAAACCTTTGGAATGCGTCCGAGAAGAGCCCTGCTAGGTCGGTATGATCTGAAAGGATAAAGTGGTCCGTGGCCGTTCTGCATAAGATTCGCGTGGTGGTTGAAATTGACCTATAAAGACCTTAGCCTCCCTGGTTTTCCAACAAAGTACATCAAGACGACCAATCTTGGCAAATCGCAGTTGTCAATCGTTATCCCAACCCCCAAAGTGTGCGGCCTGGACCAACCCTCGTCAAAAACATGAAGGTCGAAGGTGCAAGTGCGGTAGCTGAGGCTCCAGAATCGCCAACCCCTTCTATCAAACCTCGCCCGATGACCAAGGACGAGAAAGATGAAGCATTTCTCGCCAGCATTGGGAAGAAGCAGGAGCTCAACGTATGATCTACTCCTCCAAGACATTTTCGAACCAGTGGCTAACGCTGTGACTGTTTGCAGCGTACTTTCGGACTGTGGTCGATGATCTCTCTGGTTGTGACTCTTCAAGCCTCCTGGGAAGCATTATGTGTGTCAGTAACAATGAAGTCTGGTCTTGAGATGCTCATGAACACTACCTGACCGTCTTACCAGTGTTTTTCAAGTTGCTCTTATCGAAGGCGGGCCTGTCAGCTTGGTTTATGGCTACATCGTAGCGTCGTTGGGCACACTCGCAACTGCATGCTCTCTGGGAGAGATCGCCAGTATGTGGCCGACCTCCGGAGGTCAGTATCACTGGGTCGCTGAGCTTTCTCCCAAGCGCTACAGGGCATTTCTGTCTTGTATCAGTGGCTGGATCTCGGTCAGTGGATGGCAAGCCTTGTCGGCCAGTACCGCATTCGCCGTGTCTACTCAGATCCAGACGCTGGTCTTTGCAGGGAACAACAACTACACGTCACCAAGGTGGCAGGGGACTCTGATCTACTGGGCCGTCCTATGGGTTGCTGCCACTGTCAACGTATTCTTGATCAAGTTTCTCCCGCTTCTAGAGTCCGGCGTGGCAGTCGCCCACATGAGCTTGTTCATTGCCTTCATCGCCGTTCTCTGCGCGATGGGGGAGCGCAATTCATCAACTTTCGTCTGGACCGAATTTGTCAACAACTCGGGCTGGAACAATGATGGTGTCTCATGGTGTATTGGGTTGCTATCTAGCGCCTTTATCTTCATTGGTAAGCCCCTCGAACGCCTCCCTTCGCGTACAAGAAAATGAGCGAGCCAACACGGCCTTGGAAGCTGTCGCGACGTTTGATCCCAGTCAACTGATTCATCTGCATAGGATACGACGGAGCAGCTCACATGGCCGAAGAGCTCCATGACGCCGCTCGAGCCGTTCCCAGAGCCATGGTTGCATCGATCGTGATCAACGGCGTCATGGGATTTGTCTGGCTCTTGATCCTTCTCTATTTCATGGGCCCCTTCGAGTCGATTGTCGGCAGTGCGTACGCACTCCCCTATGTCCAGGTATTCGTCAACGCTACTGGTACGACAGGGGGCGGTATAGCCATGGCATCCCTGGTCACAAGCATCTCTGCCCTCGCTACCGTCCCCATGCTGGCATCCGCGAGCCGGACGACTTGGGCTTTTGCCCGCGACGGGGGTCTTCCACGCTCCCAGTTCTTCGCACATGTTAATTCATCCTTCCAATTGCCGATACGCGCCATTTTTCTCAGCGTCGGACTTCAAATGCTCCTGGGACTGATCAATCTCGGCAGCACAACGGCCTTCAACGCGTTCCTTTCCCTGGCAACCGTCGCACTCTATGTGTCCTATCTCCTCCCGATCATATTGATTGTGCGACTGCGCTTCATCGGCAAGGATGGAATGAAACTCGCCTATGGCCCCTTTCGACTCGGTCGCTATGGACTGCCGCTGAACTTGATCTCCATTGGATATACTATCTGGACTGCCGTCTTCATGCTCTTTCCGGATTTCCAGCCCGTAACGGCGGAAAATATGAACTACGCCTGTGTCATATTGGGAGGTATTATCGTACTGTTCCTGGCGTGGTGGATGGTTCGGGGCAAGAAGACATTCACCGGCCCTTTGACGGCGATTGAGTAAAATTGCGGGTTTAGAACGAGGAGGGACTAATACTGTACCAACTGGATAACATGCACGTAAGGAACGCCTAGATAACCCTAGATATGTAGCCTTTTGAATCTGGTTTAGAACAGATTATATTCAGAAACTCGGCAACTCATGAGAGCCTGGGACTGACTAATGCACAAAGATCTCAATAGCCAATAGCTACTCGCTTATTGGTGCACGGCTCAGGAGACGTTGCTACTGAGCCAGGCTTGGTGCTGTTGATAGCTAAAGACCACTCAATTGGTCAAAGTGCTCGTGCACAGATAAGAGACGTCTGCCACTCTCCCCGCCCCCACTCATGCTGCGCAATGGGAAGCTTTTGGGATGTCCCGCATCTCTGAGATGTAAGGGTAGGTAGATAAGGTCGGTCTAGTAGCTTTTCAAAAACCCGCGCAAGTGCTGAGATCAGATTAACAATTCATCAGTTGGTTGCAAATGCACTTGGATTATCACAAAGGTGGCATTATCCAAACCCTCATTATGCTGAAAGGATAGACCTACCCCCCGTGCACTCTCGGGATAGAAATTATTCATGGCTTCGAGCGCCAAAGCCAACCTTAAGCAGTCCCAGCCATCAAGACGGGTTAAATCTCGATCTGGTTGTCAATTGTGCAAACAACGCAAGGTAAGCATATATTTCACGCTTTTAGGGCCGGTTCGGTTCCACGTGGGAGTTGTGTCTCATTTCAGATCAAGATCAAATGTGACGAGTCTTCACCGTCTTGCAAAAATTGCTTCAAATGGGGGGCTGTTTGTCCAGGATATAGCCGACCATTATCATGGCTACACTGGCAGCAAGACGTTGCCAGTGAAGAGGATGCGAACGTCTGTGGGACCGACCATCTCGGTGCCAGTGGACAATGGCGTCGCCATCGGCGACGCGTCAGAAACGGACGACGAGACATAGAGCCTCAGGACCGCTCCCGGCGACGCGATAAGATTCCTTCACATAGCCCTGTGTCGAGTCTGTGTGGTTTGGCCGAAACATACAGTAATCAAGATCAAAAAAGTGTTGGTAAGGTGCCGGGAGAAGATACTTCTTGTTACTTCGGTTCGAAGGCATCTGGATATTCGCCTCCAGGTCAGACTTGCGAGGAAGAAGCAAGCGGTCCAATATCCCTGCTTAAGCCAACGTCTTTGAAGTATAGCACCAATTCTGCTGACCGCTCGCCGTCGACAGAAGAGAGGGGAATGTTTCTGGAAACCAATAGTGGACTTGTTGCACCATGGTCTCCCGGTTCAGTCATGTCAAACCCTCTTGACGAGGCGACCTCAATGGTGGATTATTTTTTCGGAAGAGTATGTTCGGCCATTTCATGCTTTGATTCACCTCTGAATCAGCTGCGCGTGGAACTCGCGAGAGGAATCCATCACTCAGAGACACTGTTTCATTGTGTTCAAGGCATGGCTGTTGCTCAGCTCCTTAGTTTTCAGCCGTGGAGAAAACCGGAAGCACTGTCGCTCCAGGCCCGGATGTACAAGTCTCTCGCCAAAGATCTGCATGGTTCAAGGGTTACGGATGAAATCATGTTGGCTATCACTCTAGTGGGTTGGTCATCGGTAAGTATAGTTTGTGGTCTACAAACTCACTCTTACGGTGAAGACCTTCCAACTCAAGCTGACATCTACAGTGTTGGTTTGAAGCCACGTCCCTAGGCAACGAACATCATCTGGGCGCAAGACGGCTCCTTTTACAATGGCTGACTACCAGACGGCCACTTGTACAGGCATCAGCTGGGACCGTCGACTACCAATTCCTGGTGCGCGGCCTTATTTTCTGGGAAATGGTCTCATCGTTCATGATGGACGAGAGTAGCGGGATTGTCGAACTTATCGAGCATCCCGACTCGAAGAAAAAGAGTCCAGGTCTACGGGAATTGGTAGTGGACCCTCCAGGAGAGTCTTCGCTCATCGCCGTCGACGCAAGTAGTATGATCATACCGCATCCGTGGACTGGTGTGTCGACTGGTCTTTTCTATCTCTTTGCCAAAGTCGGCCGCCTTCTACGAACCGAGGTCAAGCGAATCCGATCTCACGGATGGAATACACTGGCTTACGCTAATGGCGAATGTCGATGCGATGAAGATGAGGGGTTGGCACGCAGTCATGCACTCTCTCAGGCATCGGATCTGGAGATCCAATTGTTGAATTATGAGCTGCCACGGGCAGACGCAATTCATCCCACCGGCGACGTCTCCACCACCGTTGGAGATCTGATCGATCTTGCCAAAAGCCACCACTTGGCTGCTATGTTACAGCTATATAGGGTGTTCCCTGAGCTCCTTGAGCGCCGGCTACCCTTGATCCAATCACAGAATGCTGTGGATGGCGGTGATAACAGAGATCTTTGGGGAACAAGGCCTGCCCGGGATGATCTGTCCCAAACCTCCTCGCGCGAGGGATTCCTCTTCAGCCTCGCCGGCCGCATACTGCGAATGTTGTTGAAATTGTCGCCTGCCTCAAGCTCTCTTCATGGCTGGGGCATCGTGCTACTGATAGGCGCCAACGAGTTACATCTCGACCGTGAGTATTTACAACAAGGTCGTGATCAATCTCCAGCCGAGTGTTTTGAACAACCAAGTCCAGAGCGACATGTGAACGACACCCTGGGATCATACAGTTCAGACGACTCTTCGCCATCTCGTGAGAATCGGATGCCCGAGACTCCGTTGGGAGCCGAACACAACAGCGAAGGCCTTGATGATGAGATGGCCAGCTTGACGAGAACTCCGGTTCTGGATCTTCGCTCCTTGATTTGGAACACCTTGAGCCACCAGCGGCACACAATTGGCCTGAGCGGGGTGCAACGCGGACAAGCCACCGTGCGAGAACTTTGGAGACGGATGGATGCAGGCGATCCCCATGCATTCTGGCTGGAGATCATGTACGATAATCATTGGGAAACCATGCTGGCTTAATTGAGATATGCGGTGACTTGATCTGGGCTAAATAAATAGTAGCAGGTCAATGCTGCCTAAACATGGGCGTGCTATAGATCACATATGGCACGACCTTTGGTACTGACGGGAAGATGTCTCTATACCTCGCTAATAACACAAGTGTTTACTACATCAATAGATAGATCTGGACTTCTAGATCTTGACCTGAAAACCAAACACTTGCTTGGATATCGACGTTCAAGGAGTTAGACAGGGCGACTCAAACCTTCAACCAACGCACCATTCACGGTCCGCCGCAACTTTGCTTCCACCAACTGTCATATAATCACGTTCGAGATCACCATCCAACTCTTGCCGTCTCCATTGCTCCAATGTGGACCATCGATCCACGAGCTCACGCATGACAGCTACAGTGGTCAGGAATCTTGCAGATAAACAGTCGCTGCTGGAGCCGCTTCCTTGATCTCCAACCTCGACTAAAACACCAAGAGCAAAATGCATACGATCCAAGTCCTGATTTACAATGATTCCCAGACAACGCGCCCGTTGGAGGTCCCTCCTGAGAAGTTACCACGGCTGGTGGCCATCTCCAGGAGCGGTTGTTTGAACAATACGATACCATCGTTGTAAGGCGTCGTCGTGCAACCAGAAGCTAGGATGCTCGGCTCGAAGTTGTCTCTGTGGAGGCTTGATTAGGATGCCATCAGCCTTTATCTTCAAGCCATTAATAGTAACCTCGCCATAACCCATTGATAATGCCAAAGTTGCCATCTGCGAAGCGGGTCGACGAATAAAGCTCGACGGGGCCCACCTGTATCTATCGAGCTCCACTCTTGGGCCCTTTGTGAACAGTAGATCGAACGGAAATGTCTTCTGTGCTTGTAGGAAGAGGCACCACTTTTCGTCGACACCTGCGTTAATGATTGGCGTTGGATCATGTCCAAGAAGAATGGCAAGGCACATCGCCTCGTCCTGATGTTCACTTGTACTCCGAAATTGACATGCGTTCCAAAGCTTGGTAATGCTCGGAGCATCCTCCTTTCCCCTAAGAAGGCTGATTCTGCAAGGAAAATCCGCGAGCTCAGTCAATAGAGTTTGAGACAACTCGAAGAACCTTGGATGGTTTGGAAGACGTTGGAGAATATCTACGAACAGATCCATGGTTCCGTCTTGGAGCTGTAACATGACCTTGGTGCCGAGGACAGCTTCATTCAGAGTCCAGAGCCTTCTCACCCAGCTGGAGCATGCAAATCGGACAAGTTGTTCCTCCAACGACGCCATAATACTTGTCGACCCCAACTCGGAGTCCAGAACCAGCACAGCTGAAGAACTTTCATACACCCGATTCATATTCTTGATGGCATTTATGCGAAATGCTTGCAAGTGGGGACGGGAATAATCTTGCGGTATGCAGAGCGTGTCCAGCCAAAATGGCATTGAAGTGTCTCCGGAAACTTGGTGGACCAGCGCTTGAATTCGAACAAGTTGGCAACGAGGAAGTGCGTTATCCCGAACGTTACCGAGTCCCTCGACCCATACATGAGAAATAGCAACAAAAGGCTTCCTGTTTACAGTGGTCACAGCTGACACCTGCAGCTTTGGATGATCGTCCCCTGTAGGCAAGAAATCAACCACAGCGATGGCACCCTCCTCACTTAAGATTTCACAGAGTTCTTCCTCTTTCACATAGTGGAGACCACAATTTTTGTCGCAGTCTTTGGTGTGTTCAGTACAATAATCTAACCGGGCAGCTTCTGTAATGTTCAAGACATTACAGAATTCTTGGTTGCAACCTCCTGCGACATGGTCCTTTTGACGGAGTCTAGGAGGAAGAAGACTGGCGAAGTACATGCCACTTGGTGTTAAAAGCTTGTCTAACATGGTAATATCGCTCGGACACCAGCCAGCATGCTCCATCCTGGAGAGCACCAACTCGCTGTGCTGCCATGTGAATGGTCTGCTTTGTGGCCAGACATGCATTTTTGCACGAGTAAGGACAACACAGAGTGCAATAATCGAGAGTGTTGTTTCCGTATGCGATCTCATCGGGTGAGTTTCGCTTTCTTCTCCGCCACGGCACATGTATCGCGCGACATGCTGCTGAGTCTCATCCAATATCGCTTCAAGCGCTAGAACTGTTGCAGAGCGTGGAAGCAACTCCTCCTGCGTGATGTGGGTCTTCCATTGTGTCAATTATTGCTCGATTCGGTGAGTGGTGATGATCCATTGGTCAGAAGTGCCAGAGAGGCGAGTAAAAGCTTCGAGCAATGTGTGCATGGAGTAACCGTGGTTCAAGAATGCGGATAGGAGGCCAAAGTAAAGCCATTGCTGTATAAAAGCTGCGACAGTTCTAGACGGCTGGCTTATCCGAGGCCCATCAAACAGGTCCTGTTTGTTCCAGCCTGCTCTGGTCGGGAAGTCCGTGAAGCCGTGGTTGTCATAGTGCAGGACGCTTTGCTCATTGCGTCCCAAGTATTCAACTTCCAACGGCGGAAAGTCGGAGTCCTTTAAGAGCGGTAAATGATCCATCTCCGATCAACTTGAACAACTCAACAATTTTGCAGTTTGAGAAGGTGTACGAGAAGTAACAAGCAGCACAGCTTCATTTGAGAGGGCAGGCAGAAAGACTGGCCACTTCATTCTACTAGGAAATTCCACATGTGCCTTCTTACAGCTCAACAATTCGGTCAGGGCGTAAGTGGTTGAGAGGAGTAGGACAGGGAGTGGGAGAACAAGAGATTCTTTTGAGCCAATGACGCGAGATAAATAGTCCCTCGTTCGCGAGTGGCTTGAAGTGGCTTGCGCCATGTGCCAAAACAGCTTCACCGCTGATCAGGCGAGTGTGCATTGATGCCCAAGTCAAAGGGTGAAGGCAGAGGTAAGGTAGTCGCTAAAGCGGCACCGTCGGGTTGAGTATTACCTAAACTCTCAGCTGATTGCAGGAATTTCTGACCGCAGGCTGCAAGGGAGGTTCAAGATTTCCAACGTGCACGCTCCTCTTCGCCAAGGTCTATGAGTTGAGCGGCCACTTGGTCAATCCGATATATGCTCCCTTTGCAGATAAACCGATCGACACATTTACAAAGACACAAACCTGCAGCAAAGAGGGAGATCCTATTGCCCCATCCATCCTAGCAGGAATCTCACACGAAAAGAGACCGGGTGCGAGAGATTCATAGCTAACAAAGCTATGCGACGATTTGTTTGGCCTTTGGAAGATGCGAACCGCGTCCAGGGCTAGCCACAGAATAGCAAAGAAATGAAGCTTCACATTATCTTTCGCTATGGCAGTTCTTGTTCTTGAGTTGTATTACTAGCTTACTTCCCGTTGACAAACTCCTTCTTCGGACTCGGCCATGCCATTGGCGCGGACATGGCCAGGAGCGTTTGACTCTTGCCCGTCGTCTTGGGGTCCTGCCCGATGAAGTTACAGGGGAATCCCATGTCAAAGGGCTGCACGCTTTCGAGATACTCGACTTGGTCGTCGGTCAAAGTGATGCTCAACGAGTTGATATTGTCCATCAGGTGCTCAATCTTGCGTCCGCCGACCAGGGGGAAAACCTGACCTGGCGCCTTCTGCCGGAGATACGCAAGAGCGATGGAACTGAGAGACTCGGTTCCGTGTTCGGTGGCAACCTTCTCCAGAGCTTCCGAGATCTTGGCCTCTTTCTCGGTCTGGCCTGCACCAAGCAAGTTCCTCAAACCTTCGCCCGCGGCCTTGCGTCGCTCCAGCTGCTTGTTGCTTTGAAATTTCCCGCCCCCAATGGCATCCCAGGGGCATAAAGCCATACCGAAATGGCGGGCCATAGGAATGATGTCACGCTCGAAATCACGCAACATCACGTTCCAGCGCCCTTGATAAACGCTGAAGGGAGTCTTACCGTTGGAGAGGGCATAGGTGTTGGCCATCGCGACGACCCAAGCGGGAGTGTCGGAGATGCCCAGGTAAAGAACTTTGCGTTCTTTGACCAAGACATCCAGGCTGTCGACGATTTCTTGGATCGACGTGGTGTAGTCCCAATAGTGAAGGTACAGGATGTCGACATAATCGGTCTGGAGCTTCCTCAACGAGTCTCGAAGGGAAAGATGCAAGGCTTTTTTATGATTCCCGGCGTAGTTGAGCGTGATGCCCTTACCGAGTTCATAGCCGCGGTAACCATCAGTATACCTACGTTGTGATCTCGGCATCAGTATTTGCGACTGGTTGGAAAGCCCAGGGAAGAACGACGCAAAGATCAAAGATCAAAGATCGCCTTCACACCAGAGGGCTGGAGGTGCTTACTTGGTTGCAAGAACGATGTTGTCTCGATTCTTCCTCTCTGCGATCCATTCGCCGATCCACTTTTCGGATTGCTCGTCCTGATAATTGTTGGAGGTGTCGATGAAGTTGCCTCCAGATTCGTAATACTTGTCGAGAAGCTTGAAGCTTTGCTCCTTCGACATGGGGCCCATGAGCTACATCACCGGGAAGGGTTAGCATGGAATGACTGTTCAGGGCTGCCGGCATCTGACAACAATAACAAACATCAAAACCTCACTCCAAATGCTTCAGAATTTTACTCGTGGTCTTCCGGAAAGAGGTCGATCCGGAGCACGTACAACAGATAGTACAGTCCTAAGGCTGGAAATCTGGAGAGAAGGGGTAGGAGGCACCACTTACATCTGCCCAAGCATCACCGAGAGACATTGCTCCAAAGACAAGTGGCGAGACCCTCACACCAGCGGTGCTAGAGAGAACCCGGTACCGACCCAACTCAGTGGGCGGCTCTGGTGCAGGCGCAAAAATACCGGACATTTTGACTGGAGTGGTTCGCTATGAGTACGGCAGGTGAAGGAAATGATATGCGTGAATGTATTTCGATAGGATAGAATCCAAAATTGTAAAATGGGTACCGATTTCGTCTTCACAGTATTGTCCTGTCGGAAAAGACTGTGGTTGTAAACTATCTGCCTTGAGAATAACTGAACACCATATATATTACCATGTAAAAGTGATATGGATGCATACTTGGGACCTGTTTGACCTTCATCGCCTCTGTCCGGCTCAGGACCTTGGAGAGTAGCCCGTTTCCGCTCACCTCTACGTGCATACTTACATGGGTCGTGGTGGGTCAATTACTATTAGTCCTAGTCCGCGATACGCCAAAAGTGGACCCGTGCACCAGAGCTCAAGTAGATACGAGACAGCATAACCACTTGGCTGGACGAATCAATGACCAGATCTTCTTTTGAGTGATCCTGGTTGAGCGGAGGCTTGACCGCCAGGCAAATGGTGCGTCACCACTGTCCATATAGTTTAACCACCTGGATAAGAGGATGATCAGGCACGGGTAATAGCGAGGTTTCCAGCGAGAAGCTAGGTAGCTAGTGACTAACACCTAACGCTGAAGAGTAGGTAGTCACAGTCTACAGCCTTGCATTCTTAGTTTATGCTCATGTTTGGAGGGCATCTCAAGCCGAATGGCTGCCACGCGTGTTGGAGCCTGAGGTACTAGTTCTCGAGCAGCAAACACGTCTGAATAGCTGACAACCAGAGTCTTCTCACCTCAAAGTGAACGTAGCCATACTACTATCACCACTCATGCACCCCTGGTGACACTTTCTCCTCCTTGCTGATCACAAGCGAGCAATATCTCACCCACCCAAGCATCTTTATGGCCTGCGTACGCGCTGGCTCTGATGCCTGGGTCCAGACCCCGCTCGTTGAATCTCGAGCTCTATCGGAAGCTGCAGGATGGTGCGTGGTTATATCTCTGGCCCAAAGAGCTGTCCTAGTGAAAGGTGTCTGACCCGCAGCAGCAAAGTGTACCTGAAGCTCGACAATCTACAACCCTCGGGATCTTTCAAATCTCGAGGAATTGGCAACTATATTCGCTGTCGAGCCGAAGAATATCGGGGGAAGAAAGTACACTTTTATGCCGCTTCTGGTGGAAATGCTGGAATTGCTTGTGTGCATGCTGCTAGGCAGTTGGGCTACCCAGCAACTGTGGTAGTTCCAACGACGGCAAAGCCACCCATGGTTGCCAAAATACATGCAATGGGTGCTGCAGCCGTGATACAGCATGGTGCCAACATCATGGAGGCCGATGAGTTCTTGAAGGACGTTTGCCTGAAAGCAGATGTGGACGGTGTCTACGTGCCTCCATTCGACCACCCTGATGTATGGGATGGCAATGCCACGGTGATGCAGGAGATTGTCAGTCAACTGGGCGGGGAACCCCCGGATATTATCCTCTGCAGCGTAGGTGGTGGAGGCCTGTTGAATGGCATCATGCAAGAGATCGACAGGAATGGTTGGAATGGTAAAGTGCACGTTGTGGCTATGGAAACCGCAGGCGCCGACTCTCTGAACCAGTCCATCAAGGCCGGCCATTTGGTGACCCTGGACCGTATTACATCCCAGGCCACCAGTCTAGGTGTTTCCAGAGTGTCTGAAAAGACTTTCGAATATAGCAAACGCTCAAACGTCAAGAGCGTTGTTCTCTCCGACCTCGAGGCTGCCAAAGGCTGTTACGCTTTGGCAATGCATGAGAGACTGATGGTGGAGCTCACCGTCGGTGTCAACGTGGCCGCATGCTTCGGGGGCACGCTGCAGAGGGTTTTGGGATCAAGCTGCACCTTAAACGAGTCGACAAAGACGGTCATAGTAGTATGTGGTGGGAACGACATTTCCGTCGCAATGCTCAATTCGTGGAGGCTTGCATTCGAGCATGAATATGCTCACACAGAAATATTGAGTCCTTGACTAGCTATCTACTGTTAACAAGATGGACTTTTGACTGTCATGGAATGGTTTGAGAAATGGAGAGTGAACTTTAGTATAGAAGAGAAGCAGACCCATTGAACGAGTGTGGCAGGAGTAGCTCTTGTCGGTAATGCATATTTATACTGTACTACCTCTTCCTGGTTCAGAAAAATGCCCCTCTCTCAGTAAGACCGACAGCAAAGCTCAATCTCAGTGATACTGCGTGTAAATGGTTCAGCACCATTCTGAAGGTTGCTCGCCCTGCTCCCCTGTTCGTGTCTTCTTCTCATGTTGTTCCCATTCGGCCCCCTCTCAATCTGTTTGGCTTCCAATGCTGGTATATAGAGCTTCTGCAACACACCTCATGCTACCATATGGATTCCAAAGGCCGGCCCTTACTATTTTGAATAACGGAAGTGGACCTGCTCCTTGTCTGTCAAGTCTAAAAACTCCTCATTGTGAGCATAGACATGTTCGCCTCCGGCCTGAATCAAGTGCTTCTGCTTCTGCTTGTTGAGCCAGGTCAGATAGACAAACAAGCCTACTGGGGCCACAGTCAGCAAGGTGAATGTGATCAACATAGTTTTGAACCCTGTCGGGTATATAGGAGCCTCGGAACTCAGAAAGAATTGTGGCCCAATAATGAAGCCGGTTGCATATCCCAAGAACATGATGGCGTTTGTGATGGAACGCTTCGTCTGCCCTGCCGTGTTGGAGTTCATCAAGGCGAATTGAAGGGGCAACACGGCGTTCGAGAAGCCCGTCAGGTAGAAGCCTGCAAGACGGCCGGCCTTGTTGTCTGACTTCACATAGAAGAGGAGTGCAGAGCCAATTATGGCAGGAAATGCGGATGCAAACTGACTGATACATCGTTTATCCGCATATTTCGAACTGACATAGCCGGCAAGGGGAAGGCCAATACACATGACTGCTCCATATGGCATCATAAGGAGGGAGCTCACGAATGAGTCGTATCCGAAATTTTTGATGATGAGTGTGCCAAACTACAGGAACCGGTAAGTGGTCAATCAATAACACATTCTGATCAGGTCCAAAACTTACAAATGAGACTCCGCTGTTCGGTACAACCACCAGGATGACCAAGAAGAAATTATAGTACACCAGTGGGTCTTTCAAGGCCTCTATCAACTGGTGTTTCTTGAATTCCCGGTTGGCAACACCTGTTCGATTGTCTCTCAAACGTTCAATCGCAATCAACTTCTCCTCCTCATTCAAAAACTTGGCAGTCAGTGGACTGTCAGGCATGAAGAAGTATAAGAAGGCGGACAGAATCAAACCCGCAAGTCCGAAAATGATGAAGAACCATTTCCAGGTCGGTATTTCGGTTTGGTTGATATGGCCGATACCATACGAAATGACCGCTTGGATGATGATGGCGAGGCCGTTGGCCGCAAACCACAATGTCGCACGTTTGGGGATTTCAGTCTTTTTATACCACATTCCAGTGACTAGAACGTATGCAGGTGAAATACCTCCCTCAACCATGCCCAGGAAGAAACGGGCAGCCATGAGCCCGGAGAAATTGGTGGCACCTGCGGTGCAGAACACAACCACTGCCCAGCAAAAAGATATGACGGTGACAAATCGCCCGATTGGAACGCGATTCATGGAAATGCCCGTGAACGGTTGAACGGACAAGTAGCCGAAGAAGAAGATGGATCTAGAGCGCGTGAGAAACTCTATCTGGAGTGTTATGAAATGAAGAAGGATAGTCTCTCTTACCCGCACCATGAATATTCCTGGCCCTTCAAACCTAGGTCTTCCGTGAGACCATAAACTAGGCTCTGGGCCATGATGCTCTTATCCATGTATTGAAACAGATATGAGACGAATAACTGGGAGGTAGTATTAGAGAGGCTTCCTTCCTTTCTTTCTGGATTATGTGCCAACTTGCCAGGGGCATCAAATGGCGATCAATCTTCTTGAGAACTGCTTTGTCTTGTTCCGGTGTGTACGTGAAGCCTTCGTGCTTCTCAACGAAATGTAGAGCTTCATCGGCATGGTCGCGAAGAGGTTCGATGATGTCCATGCTTCGAATTCTTGATGTGGTGGGCTCTGCAGCCTCTATTACCACGTCTTTCGTAATTGTGGATGCCATTGCGACTTTGTTTGTCTCCTTGACTAGACGATAGGATTATGTCCTCTCGACACAACAGATGGAGCTCAGGAGCGAAAGAGTTGTATTTGCAGAGGGGGCCTCTCTTGACTACTAGCGTTGGGGTCTTGTTATAGAATGATAGAACCCTTCCTCTTTACGATCCGTCCTGATAAACGATCCACTAGCATATGTCCGTAATCGTAGCCGCACCTCATCTTCAGTCGGTTCAATTCCACTCCTAAATTTGATAAGGCTTCACGCTGTGAGTCTGGATGTTCAAACCTAAACACTGGAGGCGATCTTCAAGTTCTTCCTCCTTGAATGTCAAAATTCACCTTCGTATTTAAGTTTCCACATTTCACAGTGGTTACCATAGGGCCAGTCCTTGCATTGCACTCAAGGGCCGCGCAAGCAGCGACAAACCTGAGCCTACTGGTTCCAGAGAGTGACAGATGCCTTTATATACAGACTAGTAACACCTTTCATAGATCGATACTATAGCGGCAGTTCATTACTACCTGCCAATCTGTCTGTCATTCATGACTTCTTCAGCCAACATGAAACAAGGGTATTACGAGTTAAGTCCTTGGACGACTTGTTGCTTGAAGACGCTCCCATTTCGGAAATTGGAGATTGTGATCCTTTGGTGCGCTGCGAGGCCGTGTACTCGATCTATCGGATTTATTGAGATCCGTGATAATACTACCTCATCTTGCATTCCGCAAAGATTAACGTGTCATGCCGATATTCTATCCAAACGTCACACATCCCCGATACAATCACCCTTGATAGCCTCAAAGCTGGTCTGGGGGCCGTCCCGGACGGGGTGATCCGCGAGTATGGAGCATTCAATTGAAACAACCTCGTAAGGGACCCAAGGGGGTTTATCGTGGCCTCTGTAATGATCAAAAATCCATAACGGGGAGTTACTATAAGGTGGCACCTTGTTTGATAGAAGACGAGAATTAACAATCCATAACCCATAGAGGTGGTTGTAGTGAAAGGTCGAAGCCACATTCCTGCCTCGCTGTCTCCGTGGCGGAACTCGACCTAGTGCAAACTCACTCTCTGAGCATACATCCGTCAGCCAAACTCTACCTACCGGAAGATGGCGGTATGTGTGTTTGCTGTGACGCTCTCAGCCGCGACAGTCACTGTATAGTAGGCCGCCGATACACTCCCTGGTCCGGTAAAAAGTAATTCCATCTAGTACCGCCACAGACGTACATGCCAGACAAATCACCAAAGGTGGACTCCAGCAGGAGAATGGGCATACCTATGATAGATACGCCAAGGTGCAAAGCTTGCGCTGCATGGTCTACTCTACCTATTGCTAGACACACGGACATGACAGTCGTTGCTGCTCCGAGTTTCTTCAAACAGCCAAATCAACTATAGTTTATGAGTTGGTTGTCGTCGATAATATTCGCTGTTCAATGGCCCAGACTGTCGAAATGGTAGTCCCATCATCTGTTGGTGTCATGACACAATCTACGATGCAAGAAGATGAGACACTACCCATCATTCCATTGCCAACATGGAAAAGGTCGATCATTCTCGCTGTCACAAGCTGGATGCCGTTGGCAGCGACTTTCTCCAGCACCTCTCTTTTCACAGCCCTCCCAGAAATAGCCGCAGGCCTCGGGACTTCGAGTGATGTCTTGACCACAAGTAATGCGGGAGTGTTTTTGGCGATGGGAATTTCGACCTTGATCTGGGGCCCGATTAGCACGGTCAGTCGGAATAAAGTGCCTTCACCCGAAGGAAGGCTGATCGCAAGATCAAGCAGAAAGCGTTACACATGACTGACCATGCCCCTATATCTTTACAGGCTGCAGGCAGACGAACAGCATATATTGGCGCCGCGTTGGTCCTATTGCTATGTTCGATTGGCACTGCTCTCGCAAACAATGTCGAAGCTTTCGTCGCCCTCCGAGTCCTGGGTGGTCTAGAGGGAACGTTTTTCATGGTTTCCGGGCAGACAATCATTGCCGATACATTTCCTCCGGTAGGTGCGGAGTTTACTTACTACTATCTATGACTTGACCCCGTCTAAGACCCTGCTTCTAGGTGCAGCGAGGTACCGCAGTCGGGCTTTTCATGGCCGGGACAGTTGTCGGGCCTGCGTTGGGTGATTCAAGTCTATGATTATCCTCGCAAAGGGAACAATCCGCTTACAAAGGTCAGGACCGTGCCTTGGAGGTATAATCATCACTTATACGACATGGCGTACCATCTTCTGGCTTCAAAGCGGCATGATAGGCATCGGTCTTGCCTCTGCCGTTTTTGTCATCCCGCCAGCCGTCAGGGTAGACATAGACACCAATGCGGTCACGGTCGCCACCACTCCTTTGGGTATTGCAGCAGCGTTTAATCCATGGAATTGCCTGAGACTTTACGTCTTTCCCAATCTGCTATTTGCCGTACGTTTGGAACCATCGAGTTTTCATCCCCCTGGGGTATCATAGTTTTCACTGACATGGAGATTGATAGGACCTGGCGTGTGGCCTACTGAGCTGGAGTCAGTATTCACTACTTACAGCACCGAGATACCTGATCAATCCACGATTCCACTTGACATTGCCTCTGGTATCCGGCTTGTTCTACATCGCGCCCGCTTTTGGCTTTCTCATGGGAACCATTTGTGGCGGGAGGTTCTCGGACATCACGGTGCGGAAGCGGATCCTGTCACGCGGCTACAGGCTGCCTCAAGATAGGCTATACAGCGGTATCGTGTCGTTCTTCGTCATCGTCCCGATTGCCAGTCTGATCTATGGCTGGGGGCTACGGTATCAGGTGGGTGGATTGGCTTTACCAATCGTCTCGATCATTGCCAGTGGCTTTGGTCTCATGACTGCGTTTAGCAGCATGAACACCTATTGTGCCGGTATGTTATGTCCCTGATTGCGACTATTACGAGGCAGAAGCTAAGAAATGGTTGAGAAATAATGCCTACCAGAAGAACCGAGGTGATGGCTGGAAAATATCTGATCCAATATTGTTTTGCAGCAGCCGGAAGTGCCAGTATTCTGCAGTTGATCAATTTGATCGGAATTGGATGGGCTTCAAGCATAGGTAGGCAAGGGACGAACCCGATCTGCTACACTTCCATGGTGCTAATCAGGGGGCTCACAGGTGTCCTCTTCAGTATCATCGCTGGTCTATTGATCTTATGCACCGCGCGGTACGGGCGGGACATGCAGTCTTGGACCGAGAGTCAATTGAAGCGAGAGTAGTAGTCCGTACATCCTTCACTCTTGAGTCTGCTAAACAGTGTATGTTTTTATTACTCTGTAGTACAAGCGTTTCTTGCCTTTGTGCTTCCATCTTCGCTCGCGTCTTGCCTGCCTCTACTTGGTACTAGAACCATCTATCAGTGACGCCCTGTGTCGTGCATAAGCTACTAAAATCACCGGAAGCTCCAGACGGTCAATGATATCCTTCTGTCAACCTTTAGCATTCCAAACCTTGCCCAGGAGTGCTGGGAGGCCCTGTCATCGTGTGTATCTAGTCAACGCCTCTCCCAGGCCCCTTTGATAGAAATCAAGGAACCTTTCATCCCACTGTCCAATTTGTTACCACCTCGATCGGATTGGTGACGGAAAAGATAGTTCTACGTAATCAGACACAAATACACAAGTCCTGGTGCTCGCCGGTACCGAGAGGGTCCATGCCTCATATGCTATCCTGTCTGGGGTATACGACGGCTATAGGGAGAAGCGGTCGCCTCATTAAGTTCGGTAGATGAAAGAGTATTGCGATAATAACTATATGCCTTCCCATAATATGGGTAGATTTTGCTTCATAACGCAGCTACCACTATAAGGTTCACAATACAAACATCGCAGTCATTTGACATGGTGTCTCTACATTATTACAATGGCGTCGGACACCACTGTTTTCCGCCCCAGGAGAGATAAGGGTTTCGCAGTTGCCCTAGTCCAGACGTATATCAAAAGGACATTTCCGCCGCTAGATCCCTAGTCCAGTGAATAGGATGTCTCTGATAGGTGGGTAACGCTTCAATACCAACTATGTATCGGTACTAGTAAATGCCTCTCCCAGGAGCTTTGGCCAACTGGTTGGCAGGTAGAAAACTTCACCAATCGACATCAATTCACAATTCTTTGTGTCCACGCCATATAACACGCACCATATCGTCTGAAACAAAGTAGTAGTAGTTGGGAGTAGAGACTGGCTGGGGCTCGTCTACCGCGCAGGATTCCCGTCTGATTCCCAAAGCACTCTTGATCAATGACTCTCTTCAAGGGGAATGCTATTGTGCTCGATGTCGATCGGGGGAACTTGAACTTCCGCAATGTCAAACTCATGCTTATGTTCCTCCACGAAATGAATGGGGATAACGACACCCTCTTCACCAACCAAGTATTGAGTTTCGGTGATGTGGAAGGCCCCAAGGTAGATAAAGACCATTAAACCAACAGTGTAGAAGGTAAAGAGGACGCCTGCCTCCTTGACAAATGGAATGGCGATGGAATCGAGGCCAAAGAAGATGGCTTCACCACTGGCCATGACGCCGCGATAAACGCCCTGTTTTTGTTGAAAGTAGTCAGCGACACAATAAAACGCATGCTGCAAGGGCGGATTGGGACCACCTTACTGCATAATTGGCTGCTTTGGCAGGAGAATTGGTCATACAGCTCAAAAAGTAAAGGATAATTGACTGCATCAAGATGCTGGAAACCCAATTCAGTGCGAACAGGATAAAAGTGGGAGCGAATCTGCCCTCGGTCCAGTCCAATGGATGGATGGGAGGATTGGAGCGGTCGTAGTTGCGAACGCGCACTATCTCCCAGATCCAGGCAGCCATCAGGGGGATACCAATAGTCAGGAGGCCGATGAGTGCCCTTTTCCGTCGCGACCAGATCTTGTGATCCAAGAGTTTCTGCAGTCCGTACCCTGCTGGGATTTGCAGCATGACGGCGCTGAAAGACAGGAGACACCTCGTCCGTAGGTCGTTATGGTAGGCATTGACCGAACCGCCGTATACGAGGAAGCATTCCGAGGGGAGAAATGCTGGAATCATGAGAAGGAGCTTCCAGTCCTTAAAGATCTCCAGGTTGGCCTTCAGCTCCTCAACATAGCCACGGGCAGGTAACACGGCCACTTGGGTACCGTCGTCCCGGAAGACTTTGGAAGGAGGTCGCAGCGTCAAGGCAAGTAAGCAGCCGCAGCCCATCATGGCGATAATGATAATGTACACGGCCACTGGGACCCCGGCTGCTTCGGTAGAGTGGCGGTTGATGATGAGAGGAATGAAGTCGCCGATGGCGCTGCCGGTGGCCTGGAGATTAGCGGACGTTGCAATGAATGATCCTCGTTCCTCTTCCTCGGAGTATGACATGGCAACGGATCCCATGGTCACAAAGATAAGACCGGCCGAGATCTGTTTCATTCGTGTTAGCTTGTGTACTTAGCTTCAAGGGGCAAGGTCAATGTGTATACGCACTCCAATGGCGACACCTCCGAAGATGGGAAACCATTCATGGGCGGTCTGGTCAAAGTACCATAGGCCGGCCACGTAGAGGGCGTACCCGATGATACCAAAGATGGAAGTAATGGCAGGCCCAATTGTGTTCAGAACACTACCGCCAAAGGCAGCTGAGACGGCATAGACTGCGCAGAGTGTCGCGTTGACCACTTGAATAGTCTGGGCTGAATTGGGCTTGCCACCACCGGCACCGAGAAGGTTCAACGACTGGTAAAGGCCTGCGGTGAGGCCGACGACGGAGCCCATGATGAAACTGACCCAGGCGCAGATCCTGTTAGCCATATGATTCCATTATCAGAATGTCGACGAGTACTTACTTTTGCCACCAGGGTGAATTCAGGCGGAAGACGGGGAATAGAGGAATCTTGATCGCCATGATGAGGCTGTTGTCAGCCTTTACCTAAGTTAGATAGCGGTGAGAACGTTGTACTGGGAAGATAAGTTGACTTGCTTCGATGAAACCGCCCCTGCTTTTATAGATTCTAGTATTCTGATGATGCACCGTGAGAAGACCACGAAGGTGAGTAGACCAACTCGCCCAACCCTCTGTCCACCAGCATATCTTTGCTATCGTGCATGCAATATCACAGTCGCGGTGGCTGCTGTTGAGGCCTCCTCAAGTGATGATAATGAATGATACGGAAGGCAATCTAGACCGACCATCGATTTCTCGCTTGTTTCCGCCGCTACTGTGACCAGAACGACCTTGGTCCAGACGTACATACCTGACGTATACAGCGCGATAAGGCAGGCTCCCTAGCTAAACGCCGTGACATTATTATCATCCAGCAAGCCAGATATGGTCCTCGCCTCGCCACTCGCCATGTCCTGGACTCCACTGGGTGTGATCCAGGGGTTCTCTTGAATACGTGTTATTGACGACCATGCTTGATTGATCTGATAATCTTGCCCCAACTTCAAGGTTTCCAGGATCTCGCGTGATCATCACATGTCTATAGACTTCATTAATGATAACGGGAAGATACGCTGGCCAGCTAGGTGGGTGTCCTGAGACATGAAACTCTGGATACTTTTGTACACTAGGGAGGGCGGACCCTGAAAGTCATCTGGTGCCAGTACCATCATTCAGCATCAGAGGGTCTCCTTCGTCGAACAAGGCAGCTAGGATCTCATCCGAGTCTGTGCCTGCAAAATCCCACACCAAGGCATCTCCGCCATCGAAAACGTAAGGATCGGGGAAAGTCGAGTCAAAGACCCCCATCGCTGGTTGAAAATCCGCCCAGGAAGATTCCACAGGGCCGGCCTCGATCGTCGAAAGTGGATAGTCGGAAAGTTCGAGGGAGTGACGAGAGCCTGATGGGAGGGGGCCAGTAGGGTGACCGGACTGGAAATGCACTCCTGTCGTTTCCATGTTGTCGCTGTGACTTGCTTCAACCCTCAAGGGTAGAGGCGAGAATAACGAAAGGTTCTGACTGAGCTCTTCCTTAAGAGCGACAAGATCTAAGCTCCTAATCGTCTCGCCACTTGACCATAGACTCAATTTCTCCAAGACCGCATTCGAGATGGGTTCCAGGGCAGATGCATGCTGTGCAATGTCAGGCCAACGGCGTGATATATTCCAGAGAAGACAAGGGAACTTCTGGATATATTTGGTCAAGATAGCAACCTCTTCACCTTCTAGGTGTGTGCTCTTTGGACTCTGGGTATCCATACCATTGACGACTGTTGCAAGGAGGCAGGCACCCGACTCGACAATGTAATGAGCAGCATGCCAGATATTAAAGAGCTTTCCCACCCGGTCTACGACGTCGAATTCTTTGATCAAAGCGATCGAAGATATGAGAGCTCTTTTGCGCATGTCTCTGGTAGGACGTGGACAGCGTGGCGAAGGTCGATTTAGTCTTAAAATTTGGCATTGGAACAGGATTTCGTGAAACTCGATCTTTTCACCAAAGTTGATGCTCTGATGAGTTGTCTGGTGCCATTCATGCAGCCGTTCATGTATGTGCGTAAACCACGAGCCAAAGGAAACGTTCCAAGACACATCTCCCGGGGGCGAGGAGGGATAGTACATGGCCAAGGTAATTTCGGACTCGAGCTCTCTCAGCAGCCAGAACTGACGACTCGTTGACGTTTGTGGGTCGCTATCTGGGAACTTCATCTTTTAGCTTTCCGGTCATCCGCACGGTGTCAATGGGTTACCTTCGCCGTCAATACAGATGCTGGCCATAGAAAGGGCTGACATTGGACCGCGTGAACTGCACTGACCAAATCGTCAAATCATTGGTACTGACTTCAGGGTGAATGCAATCGTACCAATCAATATTATACGAATTCCAAAAGAGTCTTCTTCGAGTGTTGAGGACCTGAGGATCCAGGTTGACCTGGGCCGACACGGGCAATTCCTGATGGAGTCCGAGATGTATGCACAGTCTGGAAGCTGCAGCAGCACATTTCTTGCAGTCGACATTTTTTGGATTCATGAAGGCGTAGTGGGCGAGAAGCTGCAAGGCCTGAAGCTGCTCCCATGCATCATCCACCGAAGCAATTTCACCCAGGAGGCCTGCGGCCGTCATCCAAAACCCATACGAAGCCGTTGTTGCGCGCTTCTCATCCTTATGCATGAGGGTTTGCATCTGGCTACCTGTCAGCGAGCTGGAGCGTGTAATATTGGGCATCATGCTGGAGTCATACACTGATGGCCATCGTGATATGCACACAGAAGATGTCGAAGCCAGAGGGATCTGCGTTGTTGTAGACGCGGTCACAAGCCTGGTATAAATCCAACTGTTCTACAGCCGGATATAATGGGCGATATGTTTCACAGTAGTGTTTCAACAAGGCGTCGACAACATGACGAGGGATGGAGGAAAGCGTGTTCGTACCGAGCGAAGGCTCCTCGGCACGTTCAAGTTTGTCGGGATTCGAAGCCTGGCTGCTGAGATAAGGTACTGGAGAACCCGAGAGGAAGAAGGATGAGTTCAATGAGAGGAGGTTTGTTTGCCTCCGTGAGCAGCTGAGAGGTGCGAGAGTGGCTCTGGCCACGCATCTGGATAGCCGTTCAACCGCCGCGATCGCCGAATCGGAGATGGTGTTGACCTGGCCCTTGACACGATAGAGCTCACCTTCCAGACGGGCAATCTCATCCTCAAGGTGCGAAACAGTACTTCGAGGTTTGTCGACTCCGTGAATAGAGTCGAAACCTAGGCACGTTGCACCTGCGGTGAAGCACGCACCACAAGTTGGGTACTGAAAGTCGCACTGACAGAGGCGTTAGCCAAAGAGAAGTCTTCAAGCATACTACATAGATGGGCCTGACCCGGATCTTGCGCCTGCGACAGCGTGTACATGCCTTGCTGTGGCGACGTTTCTTCAGAGGCATTGGGATATCTGAATCCATGGTCGAGTGGTTGCTCATCCAAGCCCAAAATGAGGTGGTAGTAGATAGGAACCTCTGGCTCTATGTTAGATACACACTTCTCCAAGGCTAGTACTAATCAATACCCTGACAGCCTTGGCGTGGTCATTTCACGTCAGAGTGTCCATTAACCTAGCCTGCGTTACCTACCTACTACTATAGGTACCCGGTACCCAGGTACACAAAATGCCCAGCAGCACTGCTGTTACTCGATAGTACTGTGTGATTATACCTATGCAGTTCTCCCGTCTTACATGGCGGACTGGACATGACCCAAAATACACTCGTTCTGGGTCAACCTCCTCCTACCCTCTACCTTAGGCCTCAAGGTTCTTAGAGGGCCATGTGAGAGACAATAACAGGCAAGCATCTATATGATCCTCTCCAGGTCCCTGTCCCAATACCAGTGCTTTCCCGCCAGAGCCCGTCGACTTTCCAACCCCTCATTCGCCCTAGGGCCTTGGATTTAGCATACCCTCAGCCTTAATCCAGTCGGATAAGACCTGTTCGAACCTCTCCGGCTCGTCAGAGGCTGGACTGTGGCCCGAGTGCTCGAAGATCACCAACTTCGCATGCGGAATACCATTGGCGATTTCCTGGCTGGCTGTCACTGGGGTGACGTTGTCATGGCGTCCGACGACAAGCAGTGTTGGAACCTGTGACACTTGACTAAGCTGCCCGCAATCAAAACGGTGCGTCGTCTGTCTGCTTACCTCGATCAAATGAAGCCGACTGCGCACATCAAATCGTGGCATGTTCTCGCCGAACGCAGAATTCTGAGTGGCAGAGTAGAACTTCACAGATCCCCGAAACTCGGTCGACTCTGGCGCTGTCGTCGTGCTTGAGTCGGTCTCCGGGGGCGCATAGAACGGGAGCAGTTCTTGAATCGAATCCTCAAAATCCTGATCGTCAATCAGGGTTCCCGACCAGAGCCGAACTTGGCGTGCTCTGTCAGCCTGGACCTTGTTCGAAGTCAAGATGTTCGCCAGCACATTCATTGGGCCGAATTTTCCGTTGGCCCATGCTCCTCGAAGTATTAATCCGTACAATCGGTCTCCATGCGATATGGCGTAGTCGAGGGCGAGGAATGCTCCGTACGAGGCCCCGGCAAGGATGAATCTTTCAGCGCCCGCCCACTGTCTAGTAGTTGAGGTTCTGTCAGCGTTCGGTCACTTGTCGGACGGGAGCTTCTGCTGTCACCTCAAGTTCTCAATATCTTTGATCCAGCGTTCATGAGTATAAGGTCCGGTGTGGCTAGATGCGCCACTGCCACGAGCATCATACACCAAGACCCGAAATGCGTCCGAGAGAAATGTGTAGGAGGCCTCTGGTTCAGCATGGGTGGACAGGCCAGGCGCGCCGTGCAGCGAAATGAGGAGTGGCTTCGATCTAGTCCAGTCATCGCCGAGTATCTTGACATATAAACGGCATCCATCTTCCATTTCCACCCAAGAAACTGTTGTGGTCTGGCCTTCTGCCATTTTGAGACTTTCGTGATTCGACGTCTTACACAAGTTGATTCCTAGATGGTCGAAATCTCCTGACAATGTCATGGAACAGCCAGCATCATCTCTTTCCACAACTTTATACGTGATACAGTTCACAGACCCATCACCTTGCCACCTGGAACAGTCGGTCTCCCTTTTAGTCAGCCACGCAGATTGTACTGTTCATGTTATGCAAAAGAAATCCGAGTTAGGTGGTCTTGTGCATGGTGAGGATACGATACTCCATCTGCCCCCACCCTCGAGGCGGCGTTCAGCTTCAAGAAAGGACTCACACTAGGTCTTTGCCGTAATGGCAGATAGTGGCAGATCCGCCCAGAGAGGCACCCAATCTTCCCGATTGGAGTACATATTACTAGTCGATGCGCAAATAAAGCAAATCATTCGCTGACAGATTCTTCCCCACTAGACAGCCCTGACCCTGAAGCTGGAGGTAGTAGAGCGTCTTCATCGGACATTGTACTATGACACTGATAACTTTTTTCTTGATTGAGTTTGCCTACCGACGGGCTTATCCTAGTTATCTGGTCCGACCTGGCAGCACATGACATCCACAAGATCGATCAACCAGCAGCCTTAGAAAGACCAGTTCACAACAGGAAGGTCGTCACAGGGCCTGCCGATCGTGACTTTGGCGGTGCAGCTTGTCAATTCCATGATTATGGTACTCAGCGTGATGATCCGGTCAATTCCCACCGCTCCAGGAGGGACAGCCCTGCAAATCGCGGGTGGCGTGCTCTGCTCATCTGAGAACCTAGCCCGGAGAGAGTCGAAAGTCGTAGGCAGTCCCTGGCGCATATCCTGTTCGGTAAGCTCCTGGAGCCGCGCGAGTCGCGTGAGTGAGTCGGCAGCAGGATGGTCAATCAGTGTGCTTGGACGGCCTGGCCCGTAGAAGTGGTTGCTGTGGGCGACATAGCCTTTCTGAGGCACGATGAGAAACTTGCCCACCGGCGAGCATTCCAGGTCACCATGCTTGCCATTCTTGTCCGCAAGCAAATAGTTGATGGAGCTGGCGACGCCGAATTTTTCAATAATCGCAATGGCGTCGTCGTAGCTTGTCGCGTACTGCAGGAGGCGCCGGGACATGACATGTACGGGCATGTTATTCGGGTTCAGAGCTGCGGACCGAAGAGCGTTCATGCACAGCCCGAACCCGGCGCTGTTCATTCCTATCTTGCCCACTATCCCGGCTTCACCGTTGAATCTCAAGACAATTGGTGACCCAGCAGGTGCAATGTGGAGGAAGACCATTCCTTGCTGGAGCTCGGGGATCATGTCCCAATTCTGCGCCAGGAACATCTTCCCTCCTTCGGCGGCTTGACCGATCGACGTACAACCATCGGTGTAGTTTGTGAAGGCGATCTCAGTCCGGACATTGAGAGTGACAATGTCGTCCAGGGTCAGGCCACCTCCGGCACCTTCTGCAATGCCTTGCATTTCCTCCACAATCTCGGGCCATTGCATCTTGATTGTCGGTAAGAACCGTGAGATGGCTCGTTCTCGTGCTTGTGCCCACGTCAGTTTGGCCGTTTCTCGGAAGAACATGGTGTAAGTTGCAACATTTTGATGAACCTCTGCTGACGCCGAGCTGCCGTGCGTAAAGCCAATCTCAAATGGACTCCCAGCGCAGTGAACCGTCTTGACCTTTGGGTCGTCCATGGTGATATTGGCATTGGCAACCATTGTGAAATTTCAGGGATGCTGTGGGAGACAGTGCGGTGTTTCTAGTCGAGCTGAGACTGAATAGGTAATGTAGGTAAGAGGGCAATCGAAGATGACGTTGGAGCTTGGCCTTCAGCGTGCTTGTAGGGCGATCGAGCTCCGTCTTATATCCAGTTTTCTCACACTTTCGCATGTATTACCCTTTATCGACGGAAATAACCTAGAGTTACGGCCGGAGGGTCGCGTGGACCCGCCTTGCTCGCTCCTGGGGAACAGTCCAGGATAGGTATTCTTCCTCGGATCTTGCATTGTTACTGGGGTGGGCCGAAGTGACTGTCATCATGGGGTATTGGTTCGGACTTTTCCTATCCGAGTGAATGGGTCATCGTGTACTCCTCGCCAACAGGTACAGGCAACGTACGATTCAGGACATGACTAAATTTGAAGGAACCAGGTCTGGCGAAGAAAGATATTTGGTCGGACAGAGGGGACACAGCCCAGCTGCTAACGGCCTTCTGCACCATGGCCTGTGAGCTGAAACTCACTCCCAGGAGACGGTACCGATTCATCCGGCTACTCCGAGTACAATATCGTTTCGAAGTTACAAGACCGACAGTGTAGGCCAAGTCAGATGCAAATGTCACATTTCTGGAGGAGGGTCAAGACAGTTTCAATTACGGTATTTCTAGGTCTCGCATGTTGAACCGAAGGGCCATATCCAAGCCAACCGTTTACCGGTCCCACTCATGGTCGTCTCTTATCATTCCCACCGCTTTCCCATCCCGCTTGTAGATGGTTGCATCCTTCATCACAAAATCAACCCTTCTCAAAGCCCTTTTGTCCTCGCGGGGATCGGCGCGTAGAGCAATGAGATCCGCTCGGAGTCCCTTCTCAAACCAGCCAAATCGCATCCCACAGAGGTCTTTTCCACAAGCTTCCCAGCCCCCGACTGTGCAGGACTCGAGCGTATCTTCCAACGACATGCCTGCGTCCATCAAAAGCTCCATCTCCCTGACGCCCTGACCGTGGGGGTAAGTGCCAGTGTCTCCGCCGCAAGCAAACCGAACGCCCATCTTATAAGCAAGCCTGGTTTGGTCCAAGATCTCGTGGAAACGTTTTGCATGGACCCGTTCGCAGACTGCAAGAGTTGGGACGAAGACGCATTTCTTCTCGATCATCAGTTGGAAGAGCTCCTCATTGGCAAAGTAAGCATGCTCGATGGTCGCCACACCGGCCTTGACGGCCATCGTTGCGCCCTCGATAGTACCGGCGTGGCAAGCTACCGGGGCCTTTGCCATTGCCGCCTCCTTGACAATCATGTCCATCTCCTCTTGGGCAAAGACAAGGATGTCTGGATTCGGGTCTTTAGGAGGATGCGTGGGACTCGCAATATAGGGGTGTTGCTGTGTGGGCGGATAGCGCATAATTCGTCGTCGATAGTCGGCGAAGAACTTGATGATATCGGCGCCGGCGGCGATCCGACGCCTGACCGCCGTCCGTGCCTCGTCGACCCCATCAATTGCCTCGCCTCCACGGGGATAACATACTCCGTTGGCATGGTTCTCGGTGCGGAGCTCGTAAGAGCCGGTGCTGGCGAGGGCACGGGTGGCCACGAATAGACGGGGTCCCGGGATGAGACCACGATTGATACAATCTCGGATTTGGGCATCCATCTCTTGCATGGACTCGGAGCTCAGGTCACTGGGAAAGCTTGTTCAGCGTCAAAACTGGGGTACAGGAGCGGTCCACACATACCGGTAGGTCGTATATCCTGATAGCAATGCCGTCCGGCAGTGATGGACAGCACGAATCACTCTCTCTGGCACACTCTCGTCGCGTTTCTGAGTAAGGGACGGGCGTTCACTGCATCAACGTTAACATCCGGAATTGGTATGGAGCGGCAGGGCAAAGGCGTTGACTCACTCGTAAGAATGAAGAAAGATATGAGTGTGGGCATCAACCAGACCCGGCATCACGACCTTGCCTCTGAGGTCGATGTCGCCATCGGGAACAGTGCTGCCCAGCGAGTCAGGCTTCCTCTCGGTGACGTCGACGATGAGCCCAGTCTTTGGATCTACCGTGATGGAGATATTGGACACAAATGCCTTCTTCTTTGGATCAAACAGCGTTGACGTATGAACCGTGTAAGGAGCCGCCATGCTGTCTCGGTAGACTTGGGGAGCAGAGAACGTTGTGGTGGAACAATGAGCAAGCAACAGACCTGAGAGAGTGCCACGCTGGGCTTTAAGTCTGTAGAGCCCATCTACCTCGTGTCAGTCCCCATGATCCATTTCGTTTCAGTGTCGGCCATTCCCGTCAGAGACATGCAGACACCAAACATCTGAAGACGTGGGCTAGGCTCGAGTTTGGAAGACGACCACCGGCTCCACCGTCACCTCCTCTCCTAGCCCGCGCATGATATATACGCTCAAACCCGCCTTAGCGTCTAGTTCGAAGAGACTCATATTGCGCGTCATAGCTGCTGGAGCACTGTACAAGAGGCACCTGGTGCGTGCCCAAATCGTGACTCGCTCTAATGCCCGTCCAGTTGTCGCTATCGAGCCTAGCGCCACTGCCCGTCAATCGCGTAATCCCGCGGACTGCAAGAGATCATCGCAGAGCAATTCCGACCCGGTAGCAATGTGAGGCTAGCAGAGACTCTAGGTCTTCCTCAAAATCGAGGATACATGGCCGGTGGGGTCGTTGGAGTTCTGCTGTCAAGGTAAGGTGCCCTTGAACAACCGACTTCCATTATAGTAAGTATATTAACGTACTGCTGTGCTGGGATGTTGAGACCTTGAGGACTTGAAATCCTGTTCGTCGTTCGGTTCCTCTTTCCAGAAGCCCAGTTTCATCGCAAGTGTCCAGTCGAGCCATTCGCTCCAGCCAAAATGACATTCTCCGTCCTTGCCGCAGGCGATCTCGTTATCAATGGCCCCCTCAACCGCCCAACTGGCAAGGGAACCGTTTACGACCATGTACGAAGCGTAGACTCGTGCTTTGCCAACCTTGAGATGCCATTTTCCAAGAACGGCTACCCCGTTGAAAAGTTGATCCCTCTCAGATGCAGTCCTGACCACGCTCCAGTCATCCGGGACATTGGGGTTGACGTTGTAACTGTGGCCAACAATCACGGCATGGACTATGGCATCGAGGGCTTGGTCGAATCGCTCGGGGCGCTCGACGAAGTAGGGGTTGCCCACGTTGGAGCTGGCATGAACGTTTCCGAAAGTTTTGCGCCCGTGTTCGAGGACATCAATGGGACCAAAGTGGCATACATCGGCGTCACCACAACATTGCCCAACGGCAGCGGTGCTGGGCTCTCTCGACCAGGACTGGCAGGTGTGCGCGTCTTTACCAAATATGTCGTTGACACTGTGTCACTGGACGAGTCCCCGGGCATGTCACCATTTGCTGAGACCAGCACATACAAGCCGGATGAGGAGGTCCTTCTGCAGGCCATCAAAGATGCCAAAGCCCAAGCCGAGCTGGTGTTGGTGGCGATCCATTGGGGTGTCCCATATGGTTGGGTAGCCGCCACCCAAGACGAAATTGCAACCTACCAACAGCCGTTAGCCCATGCCATGATCGAGGCGGGAGCATCTGCAATATTTGGACATCATCCGCACGTGGTGCACGGTGTCGAGTTCTACCAAGACGTCCCGATCTTTTACAGTCTTGGGAATTTCATCTTCAGCAACAACATTGTAACACCGGACGCCGACTGGCGTACCTATCCTCCATATAGCTGGACCAGTCTGCAACAAACACTGTCGAATATCGGAGCACTGGCAAGATTGTCCTGGACCGGTGGTAGATTGTCCAGTTGTTCGCTCATTCCGGTCACAGTTGCGGAGGATGGTGAGCCTCTTGCGGCTACACCGGGCGATGCGCAGGTGCTGCTCTCACGCCTCAATGCGCTCTCGAAAGGTCGCGGGACAGCCTTTGAGCTGAAGGAACTCGAGCAGGGATATGAAATTCGCATAACCAAAGCATCTGCATAGCCAGGACTTAGTTTGCACCAGATCAATGTAAAAGTTGGTCAGACCACATTCCAGAGCAGCTCAACAAGGGACTCCCAGGCTTGGGCATGTGCAATCCCGCTTTCCCAGCGTGCCGAGAATGATGCCAACAGGGCAGAAACTTTCAGGATCGGGCTCATGGCCACGAGCGGTCCCATCGGTGCGGATGGTTCATATTCTGTTGGTGCGGTGCGGCGGTGCATCAGATAGGTCGCCCAGACCAATCCAGCTTCAAGGACCTTGTCAGCTGCCATCCATAGACTTATGATTCTCTTCTCTCCGTCAAGCCGAGCAAAGTGATTGATAACAGTAGACGCAGAATGTGCGATAACGAGGCGTAGCCTTTTCGAATGGCTATCAAGCATCCCCTTCGTGGCCATGTCCCAATCGGTCAACAAGGGATGTAAAGCAGTGTAAAGCGTCGCTGATTGTATGCTGACATGTGAGTCTGTCGAAGCCAGCTGCATCTGCAAAGGAATGAGACTCTCCATGAGGCTGTCTGACGGACGAGGCAAGGTCGTGAACCTTTCGGCTATGTCGAACAAATGGCTCATTACTTTGAGCTCGTCGGGCAAGTCGGTGGATACGGAGGGTTTGTCAGAGGAGACACTCAGCCGCATCGCACAAAAGGGAGAAGGGCGCCTGAAATGCATGGCGGTAGAGCTACAACGAGGAATTAGCGGCAACCTTGAGGAGGAGTTGCACGACTTACCACTCTAGCTTGAGAAGCGAACGCTCTATTCGTCGATAGTCATCGTCCAAGTCCCTGTGTACTAGATGATACTCCGCACAGAGGTCATCCAGCATCGACATGGCCCTTCCGAGCAGATCCCACAATTGACCGGAGGTTGGACTGATCAGCTCACAGAGAGCAAGTGCACATAGCGCCGTACACGTCCATTTTGTCGCATCTATCGGGTCGCCGGCCGAGGGAGTTCTTTGCGATATCATGAGCACATCTTCCACACAACGCCTTGAGATGATGGAGGAGTTAGGGTCTAGATCTCGAGTGATCAAGGCTGATGAGACGGCAAAGACAACGCTCATTGCATAAGTTCCTGGATCATCCTTGTTCGCGCTACACCACCTCAGAGGATTCTCGTGCACCAGCAAAGTCAATTCCAAATCGGAAGGAAGCAAGGTATACTCTGGTGCCACTGTTTTCAAGTAGTGCTCTATCATTGCTCGTTGAGTGGACGCAGGCACAAGAGAGTAAAGCTCGAATTTTCGTGGATCGTGTGTTATAATAAACGACCATGGCGTTGTAGAGTGCTCGACCTCCATCAACAGAGTTGACTGATCAGGGAGTAATCGTTCCGGAATCGGGACGTTGTGTTCAAGGTGCCATTGGACAATCATTTTCAGTACACGCTCTAGGACCCGAGCCAAACCTCCCGGGCCCAGATAGACCGTTCGCGATGGGATTGGAAGAACCTCTTGATCAGAGATGCTCAGATGATGACCTTGATCCAGTGGGCGTACTGATGGACCCCTGATTCCCAATTCGTCTGATATTGCGCGACGTTTGTCGATAGCAATTTGAATTTCCAGCTCTATACGCTGCTTTTTCTGCTGAAGTGAATGAAGATAACTAGTGACGAGCTGTGTCAGCACTGTGCAAGGATGTCCATGGGGGGAACCTCTTTGCGGCTTGCCTGCATGATATCTCCTGTCGAAGAGAGTCGTCCCAGAAGCTACACTCGACATCCGCAACTCGGCAGTTCTTGCAGGCCGGCAGTTGAGGATCGCACTGAGGGTGAGAGGTCAGCATATCTCGGAATACATTCGGGGGTAAGAGGTTGTCTTGACCTTTATTCTTCTCTTGCGACACCGGCTGCAGTTCGGTAGATACATGCTGGCTAAGGGCGTCCTACACGCACGGTCTGAAGTGATGCGATATCGAGGAGGGAAAGAAAGAACAGGACACATCCCTCAACTAGCGTGCAAAGTGGCTCGGTGGCTGGAGGTGGAAGTGCCATCAAGCTTCTAAAAACACACAGTAGCTCTAATACGGCGGAGTAGGTCGATAGTTTTTGGCCGGGCGCGGCCGGCGCTCCTAGTAACTACGTACATACTCACTATCTACCTAGGTAGGGTGGTACTACAGTAGCTATGCATTACTTATAGTGAACCGTACTGGGATGGTCTTTGGGCGAACTGGTTTAACTGTCACCGGTGAGGAAGAAAAGATGGGAATGCGTCAGTCAATATTAGTATGTCGTGGAGGACTTTCAAAGATAGATTACATACCATCCGAGTTCTATGATTCCTTTATTGGTGAAGAATAGTTAATTGAAGGTGGATCTAGATAATACTAGTATACTACTAGTAGAGTAAGAGGACGAGGTTGAAGATATATCGCCGTAGGTTTCATTGTTGTACCGCCTAGTGAAGAGGACTGTAGTTAAATATGATGCAATTCTAGTCTGTTCATACCAACGTACGTAGGTGCTTATAAGTCTTCAGCTCCGAGAAAGACGGCAAACTCATCAAGATCGCAAATTCTAATCATTTCATAACCTATAGGAAGTATGTAGGCATACCCCCGAGTATATTCTATGTCTTCCCTTTCACTATGTAGCTAGCTGGACTTCATGACTGTACATTCCCCTGGCATGTTTCACTTTAAGTCTTCCCGTGAAGCGAACGTAAGGCATTGAATCCCGCATATCCGAGCACAGCCTCAGACAGCAATGGTAGTTGCGGTCGTGATGGCTTTTGAGGGATCCTTCTGCTCCTTTTCTTCTTCGAGTGGGGCGTGCGTTCCGATGAAGATGTCGGGATTGATACCTGCCTTCACTGTAGCCGCGCGATCCCCCTCGAACTGCACTGCAATATCTTCGAGGACGAGGCCCTTGGTTTCGGGAAAGAAGAAGTAAATCAATGCGAACCAGCAAAACAACAGACCAAGATAGACAAAGTAGTATTTCCAACCAATAGCATTCAGCGCAATCGAGTTGACAAACGCGTTAAATGTAAGCAAGAGTGCGGAGAAGGTGACGGCGACAGCGCTAGCTTTTGTCCGCATGTAGTACGGCAGGATCTCGACCATGTAGCAGTAGAGCAGAGGGTTGCAGGCAATATTGAATGAAGCGTCGTACAGGAACAAGACGACGACAACCCCGTAACCTGCATCCGAACTGATCCCCTCGGCATAGACTGAAGAGAGGATGATCATGAGAACATTGCAGATGATCATGAGGCCGAACGAGAGGAGCCACATGGTGCGACGTCCAAACCGCTCGGCCATGAAAATGCCAGAGATGGAGCACAAGAAATTGAAAATCTGAAGCCCGCCGTTGATGCCGGTCTGCTGGGTTGTGGTCGTGATTCCGACCTGGGTGAGAACGACCGAGTAGTAATAGGATATGACACTCTGACCGCACCAATTTGTGATTAGAGGCAAGCTGCAAGCAATCAAGGTACGCTTTAGGTTTGCGCGCGTAGACCACAGGACATTCCATCCTTTCGCGTTAGCCTCGGCCTCCATCCTGAGGGTCATCGAAATCTCGGTAACCTCAAACTCGACGAGTTCGTCTTGTATGTTTCCGTTGGCATGCAGTCTTGCTAACATAATACGTGCTTCATTGGTGCGGTCCTTGTGAAGGAGGAATCGGGGCGATTCAGGAAGCCAGAAGATGAAGCATAGGATTATGAATGGAGGCGCCGCTTGTATGATTGAAGGAATCCTCCAGGCCCAGGTGTTGGTCAAATGAGCTGTTCCGAAGGAAATCCAAGCTGCTAAGATTGCTCCGACATACCACAGGACGTTGTAGCATGACGAGATGACTCCACGTTGTCGAGGGTGAGCCAACTCGGAGGCCCAGGAAGGTCCAATACTGAGGGTCACATTCAACCCCAGTCCCAGGAAGAAACGGCCGGCGATGAAGCAATTGAAGTTGGTACCGGCCGTCGATATGATGACTCCGACGATTTCGATGCAGCAACCGAAGGCCATTGCCCACTTGCGACCCCATCGATCGGCAATGAAGGAACCTGGCCAGCCGCCGAAGAGTGATCCGGCGTGAGACATACCCTGAAGCACGCCGACCCGGGCTGAATTGGGGTGGCCCATATCTGTTATGGCTTGCGTAAGTGCTCACGTCCAACTCGTGCAACTAGCCGGCTTACCTCGCTTGAACGATGCCATGGCAATGAGACTTCCCAGCAACGAGCCATCAAACCCGCTCACCACCTGTGCCAGCCAGATGACGGCGATAAAACAGTTCAGCTTACGCAGACTCCGGTCGCGCCACCATTGTGCCCCAGTGTTGTTTGCGAGCTTCTTGAGGTCTTGAACTGTCGTTGGTTGTGTCGACATGTTGATTTCTGATTTCTCTCCGGATGCCAATATATCGGTGAGTGCGTCGATGCGAAGGTAGACTGTATACAACAATCTGTGAAAACTGCTAGATTGCCAAAGCGTCCTCCTGGTGCTTTTATGACAGGGCTCGGCTCATTAACTGGAAGTGAGAGGCAAGATCTACGATAAAGCTTATAGCATATAGCATATCCATCCTCTGAACCCAGGGGAGATAGTGAACCGGCAAAGGCCCAACACAGCAATCAGCTTATCAAGACCTGTCAGTATATCGGTGTGTTTCCTATCTTTTTATCGCATTAGCTTCCGTTATCTGTGGCAGACGCATTGATCCTCTCTATCACCCAGCGGCCGAATCCCTATGGCGGCTTGACGGCAGGACTGAATCATCATCTAGAGGCTTTTTGATACTAGTATAGTATCATATCGATCAGCTATATCGATCAGCTTGCCGCGACGTGCACATCGACTGCAATTGATTCGGCGTCGGCGCCTCAGGCGAGTGTCAGGCATGACAGCAAGTTGCTGATATCAGGAGCGACTGAGGAAATACGAATAGTAGACAGGACGTCTGGGATCGAATCTCAAGTTATTCCTCGCAGTTGATTGGTCGTCGTAAAGGCTCAGATATCTTGGGCTCCACACCGCTGTTACGGCCAATCACGCAGATGACAATATTAATGTATGCATGTACTTATCAGTCATAAGCCTCGGCCGAGCAGGCGATCTTTCAGGTTTCCGGGAGAAGGATAGCTCACGCAGCGTAATAGATACTCATGAGTCTCGCAGTATAAACTCGCAGTATTGCAACCTTGCCAAGCAAGGCCTGAGTCTGTCTATCCAGGGGAAGTGCAAGCAAAACTTGGGAAACATGACGGCCTGCGTGCTGAACTTTGCCATTCCACCGGAGCGGTTGGGCCACAATGCTTCCATATACATGCAGCCAGGAATAGGACCGACGTGGCCTCACGAACAACATGAGGTTGTTCTCCACGACTTGAAGCCAGAGCTTCTAGAGCCGGGAAAGGCAGAGCCCCTGATGAAGCAACTCGAATCGAGAGGGTTTGCGGTGCTCAAGGATAAAAGCAACACATTGGGACCCTTGGAGAAGCAGAATGAATGGAATGATGCGTATCTGCAAGTCCGTCTCGACTGATAGACCGGTGAAAGTTATGTATCACTAATCGAACGGCGTGTAGGAGACCACACAGTATGAGCCACGCAGAATGCCATTCAATCCTTTACTCACTCTCAATTGTGCACAGGATGATCCAGGAGCAGCTTGGCGCCGATGCGGTCTTTGTCTGGAACTCTGTTACGCGATCCGCCAACCCGGAGCGGTACCAGCCGTATGGTAGCAACCATTTTCAAGACAAGGCTATCAAGGGGCTGCAGTTTGGCGAGACGATCCGCCCTACGGCATCCGGGGTGCATGTCGATCAAGACGCATCGAATTCACGTCGTATGTGTGAGGGAGCGGCTGGCTCGGACGCTTTTGAAAAGTATTCACGAGTGCAACAGCTCAATGTTTGGCGCCCGTTGAAAGGGCCCGTGACAAGCAAGCCACTCACCGTATGTGACGGAACAACAGTCGCGCCAAAGGATGTCAGTATCCATATGGGCGTGTTTGGAACGAGAGTTCTCGTCCATCACGATGGTAAGCATCACAGTCCAATGACCGTTGATGTGCCTGTTGCTTACAAGCTCGTCCTTACTTAGACCCCCAGAGATGGTTCTACATCAAGCGCCAGGAGCCGGATGAGTGTTTTATCCTGAAGATCTATGACTCTAACGTTCTTCCCGGGCAAGCCGAATATACACCGCACACTGGCGTTGATGACCTTCGTGGTGCCGATGGACCCGAGACACACAGAGAGAGTATAGAAGTGAGGCTCGTGGCATGCTATCTCTAGATATCCGCTTTGAACACACCACAACTCGACAGATTTTAGCCATATCTATCGGACACGTCCATGATCATTGGATCAATGGCCGCTCATGAAGTGATAGTATTTGATAAGGAGGAAATCAACGATACAGTATCATTGGCGTTCATAGTGGGTGGTCTTGCTATTCGCAGTATGAGAGTATGTGAGTCGACCTTGGTGGCCCACAATTGGTCTACATACAGCAGGGTATTTTGCTGATGGACTGATAAACAATTAAACCGATATCCTATATTTTCGGACAACCAAGACAACTTTCTAGAATCACTTGATAAATCAAGCCACCGGGGAATCAAGCTCTACGATAAGATGAGAAATGATCTAAATGCTTTGCAGAATACCTTCGGTGTGTGCCATTTGTTGTAGAGAAGGTCATAGATATTGGGCGTTCCTGTCGGCCTTCTAGACCTCTGTCTGAGACTCAAGTGATACAAACCCATCTCTTCCTCGACCATAGTCAAGTAGCCCAGCAAATGAAGGATTAAATAGAGAGGTATGACTCATGATATTCAGTACCACGAGCCTGATCAGTAAGGGATGATAGCCGCCAGCTTCAACATCTTGTCCGTAGCCTCTATTTCCTGCCGCGGAGTGTCCCTGTTGTATGTATCAGGATTTCCTAACCGTGGTCGTTTCCATTCATCCCGGAACCAGAGGTTGTCATGAGGCCAGTGAGTTGTGCCTTGCTTCCTCCTGAAGATTTCTCTCTTCTTTTCTAGGTTCTCCTGCGTGGCGAACTCTGCCGGAGTGTAACAGGCATAGAAAAGCGCTCGTAACTGATCGCCTTCTGGGAGAACATTGTAATGAACACAGCGGGAATCCCAGAGGATCACGTCTCCCGGTCCGGCACAGACCTTGGTCAGCTCACAACCACGTTCCTTGAACCACTCCATCTGCTCCTCCGAGAATCCTCGCCAGTCCTCACTACCCCAATCAGCCCTTTTGCCCTCATTGTGTTTGAAGAATTCCGTAAAGTGGTGGTGAGAGCCCTTCATGACAACGAGCCCTCCGTCTTGAGGGCCGTTTGGAGCAATGTTGATGATACCCTGTACGCAGTGCAGGCCCTTTCGCTGGGGTGATTGGTCAACGTGAGGCCATGGAGCAGTCTCCTCTTTGGGCAGCAATTTTGCCGTGGCCGGGAGGGTGAAGTTGAATCCATCGAAAGAGACGAGGAGTTTGTCAGTCCCCCAGATCTCCTCAAAGACTTTGATCACTGATGGCTCCAGTCGGGCCTCCCAAACGAATTTCTCGTGCTGGCATTTATACCCGTGGTACATGCCACCTTTCATACTCGACGGAAGGTATTCGGGGACATAAGTAGAGGGATCGTCTCGCGAGAAGCCGTATGGGAAAGACTCTAGCCAGTCAAAGAAGGAGTTGGTATAATAATCACAGCGTTCCTTTGATAACACTCCCGGTACCACGGCAACGCCGAACTTTTCGAGATCCTCCTTCCAAAGCGGAGTAAGTTTCTTGGGAGGTGGGTTTGTGGTTTCAGGATAGTCCGCGTGAGGTGCCATCCTATTCAAAGAGGTAGGAGGCTGGCTTTTCTGGGTTGAGGTGTCAATGATTGTTGGAATTTGAAAGCGATATCCTCTTTAAAGAGTGATCGGGATGAGCAAGAAATGTCGTATTGCAGAGCCAGATAAGTTGGGGATGCTGAGCTTCAGAGGCGGTGTACTCTTGTCGGACATATACGAGTACAATGTGGTGACGACGTAAAGGGGCTACCCTTCTCTGGCACCCTGGGTTTCAATCCAGATACATCGGCCGAAGTCTTTGTACGAGTAGTACTACATGATAGTATCACTATAAACCTCGGCCGAAGTGGAGCACAGGGAGCAGGTGGACCATGAGCCAATTTTCCAAACCCGCAATTTCACAAATGTAATATAGACGACCGATTGTACCACGTTAACGATATATGACAGCCTTTCAAAGTGCTCTATGTTGCTCATACTAGTATGCTCCTGGCAGTGTTGATCACCCGGTGAGATACGCTATTGACTACGCTGGTGCCCACACCTCCCCTCCTCGAGACAAAGCGCACCTAGATCTAATACCCATGCGCCGATACGGATATACCGACCTTCGACCCGCGGCGAAACAACCGAACTATGTAACTATGTTTCTGGTCTTCGTCGACGGTTGATTGTAGATATGGGCAGTCGCGTTGTTCCAAGAGTAAAGTTCTAAAGTTGTGCAGAATGTGCTGATTTAGATAACCACATTCTGAGTGTTTGGCGCCTCTAAAAAGCCTTCGATCTTGAGGGTTTGATGTTTTACGACGGGTGCCCTATGATGACCCATGAAACATGAGATCTCTGGAACAAAGTTAAAAGATCTTTATCTAGAGGCAGAGAGCTGCTATAACTAGGTACCAGAGAGATGAAAGCGCATGGGTAGTGGTGGTCCGGAAAATACTAGATCAAAGTCAGACTATCTGCTGATGTTGAGGCATGGTGATGGCAGATGACTTCTTAAGTCTTGGTAGGATTTGTTTCGGCCACGGCCCCGACATTACGTTGTGTCTACAATACTCCACCGTAATCTTCTGCGGCGTAGTTCGCATGACTTGCGGCTCTGTTTACCTTTTCGTGTAGCACCGCGAAAGCAACTTCATCGCAATTCACCGCTGGCTGCCATAGCTGCAGTATGCTCTCGACCAGGCAGCCAGAAATTTGCCATGACTGGGTCGACTTATGGCCTTCCTGATCCCGCCGAACCGCCCACTCCGTTTCCTGACATCGAGGACGAGGTTGGCACCCACGAGAAAGAGTCGAGCCACAAAACACGAAAGCACGGCGATGTCCATCCGAGGGACAAAAGATCTGTCTCTGGGAACATCCTGTCCCGCCTGACGTTCCTACGCTCGAATAGTAGCGATCAAGTGACAAGCAATGGCGTGGAAGCGGATGGCTTCGAAGTTCAGCAGCCTGGGCGGAATGCCATGGCGGAGGCGCAAGCTCAGGCGAAGCGAAAAAGAAAGGGATCTTTGAGGAAGACGGTCTTGGGTAAAGGAAGAGATAGAAGGAGTTCCGATGTGAAGAGATCACCATTGTCGAGCGCCAACACCCCTGCTACAGAAACACCGGGAGAGGAGCGGTCGCCGCCCACACCCCGAGCTGGCCACGAGATGTCTAGTCCTGTGTCGCCCGATTCTCCACCCCCGTGGCCGTTTCGAACTCTCTCGCGCGTCTCTATTCCATCCATCCGCAGCAGCATCGCCTCTATCGACCCGGCCTCGTCTGTTGCCTCCATCATGAGCCCTCCCATGGCGCCCACCGATGCCTCAACCGACGAAGAAGAGCTAGTCCTCCGGCAAATGCCTTCTCTACGGAAACTCCCTTCGTCGGTGTCGTCTATTGGGGACTCGTATGCGCCGATCCAAGATCCCATGCGGCGCACGTTTGGTTCCCGCACTCGGTCACCACTGGCCACACAGCCCCAATCATCAGTTGGCACTCCTTCGGAGGACGAAGGTTGGGATTACTCTGAAACAGCCTTCTGGGGATACATGATATTGATTGTCACATGGATTGTTTTCGTCGTGGGCATGGGATCTTGTTTTAGCGTTTGGTCCTGGGCATGGGACGTGGGAGAGACGCCTTATGCGCCTCCTGAATTGGAAGACGACCCAACCTTGCCGATCGTGGGCTACTATCCTGCTTTGCTTGTTCTGACTTGTGTGATGGCCTGGGTATGGGTTGTTGTAGCCTGGGTGGGCATGAAATATTTCAGGCATGCGGATTTCAAGGGCGATGACGGATGATCTGGCATACGTGCTTTTCTAAGTGATTGAATAATACCTAGCTATGCCTAGAAGTCCCTTTCTGCAGACACGGAGTCAACCCTGGTCGTTGCGCCTCAACAATCAAAACATGTCAGGATCCCGGCCTCAATAGGTATTGAACGCCGAAATGCCATATATCAAGGTAATTCAAGATTCCAATCTCGTGCACCTACCCGAATTTTCAGGCCATCAGCTGCTCTCTTGATCCATTCAGGTCGGCCCCGTCCCGCAAGTGTAGAGCCGCAATCCTTGATTGAAAATCGTCCAGCTTATCTTTGACAACGTAGCCGCCAGCGGCTGTTTCAATTTCATTTCGTGGTAGAAGCGGCGTACCAGCCAGCATAGTGGGAGTCTCCGTGCCGCCGCCTGGGGCTTTTGACACTAAGCCCTTCGATCTAGCAAAGCCAGTTGACCTTTCGGTGGACGGATCTTCGACGTAGAATTCATCCTTGATTGGACGAACATAAACTGTTTGGTTGCAGATTGTGACGATCGTGTTTGTTGGAACCGACAGCCAGTTATGACGTTCAAACGTCAACGGCTCGCTGGCTACCAAAACCACATCGGATGCTTTGTCTCTTCGTTCCATCCGAAACTGTCCCTTGGTTTTCCCTTCTACCCATGCCGTGCCTGATGAGTAGTACAAGCTCGCAGCCGCGTCCGTCTTGCTGCTAACATATCTGGTCACAATAACGGAGTGACCATCTGTGACTGCAAAGTTGAGAAGACTCCTCGTCTCGATGTCATCGAGCTGATGTTCCGTAGAAACCGTTTTGACGAGAGCATTGATTTTGGCAATGGTTTTCTTCATGGTCCGTCGGAGGGTTTTGGTGTCAAATCCACCCTCAGGTTCTGAACTGGGGTCAACTCCTTCTCGCTCGAGGGTATCCAGAAAGAGGGCAAATGCCCATTCAGAGTCAGTTCCACCTTTCACGCCCAGGAACCACTTGTCTGAGAGACTGGTGGCCAGTGGCCGTTTGACGTACTTCCATGCCCCAACGTTTCCGTTATGCATCCACATTAGCGTATTGTGCTGGAATGGATGGCAGTTGTTCTCCGCCAGAGAGCCCTCGGTAGTTGCTCGGACATGTGCGAAGATCAGCCGTGACGCCGTCTTGGGAGCTATCCGTTCCAGATTGACACAGTTCCAGGCCGGTAAAGTAGATGTGAAGACACACGGGTCAGGGCCCAATTCCGGCTCGGTATACCAGCCTACCCCGAAGCCATCCCCGTTGACAGGACGACGGCTATCAAGACGAAGACGGCTGTCGTAGCTCTGAGTCAGAATGCTGTGTGATGGTTCAGTGATGAGTTTGGAGAGAATGATAGGCTTGGAGCCTTTATAGACCTAGCAAAGGTTCAGTATTTTGCCCAATGTCGAGGTCGCTCCACGGGTGTCTACCAGAAATCTGCACATATTGCCGAGGCGCAGTACGTCTATCGTATGGTCTTCGAACAGAGCAGAACAAGCAAGTTATGTGTCCATTCAGGAGCATCATTCCTCGTTGTAAGCGGTGGCGAGGAATATCCGAATATGTGACTCAACGGGCGTCAGAGCTTCTGAAAGATGCTATGAGAGTCCTAACGCCGTCCAACGCCGAGAGACCTGAAAGAGAGAAGAAGAGCAAGGGAAGGAATGGTCAGAGCAGTCTTTATATGGCCATTGTGACACAGGCAAGGTTATTTGTTACCAGCAGGAAATCAAACAACGGTTTGATACTCACCGCCATCTCCTTGCAGTTGCGGCCGGCTCATAATACTCTGCCGTAGTACGCTTATGTTTGCGTGCTCCGGAGTATCGGCTTCTTCCCCTCAGGCTGCGTCGTTTGTAGTCAGTCTACATGATCTTCTTTCTCAACCAACCAGAACGTCATTCCCGACTCTTCGCCATCCGATGCCTGCGGCTACAACCATCGAACCACTGAACACAAAACAGCCACGGATTCTCCCTTTCTACTCTGACATTCATGCTTGACCCAGACCTGTGATGAATGGTAGGCTTCTCTCTGCGAGGGTCGCACCTTTGCTGCGCCAACCATCGGCGCGTCTCTTCCACAATTATGTCCGTTCGAGAGCCGGTGGCCTTTTGAGGCCGGAGGGATATATACCTCGACGAACATGGCCTCCCGGCTCCAATTCAATCCACAATGTTCCGGCTATACGGTCAATATCCTTTGTCAGGATCCTGCCCAAGCTTGCGCTCAAGATGGCTCGCCTGCCTGCAATGTTCGGGGCAAGCATGCTCGCGGGACTGGCATACATACAGTATCAGGCCGCCCAGGCAGGGACTTACGCAATGGACGTGTTGAAAAGAGCAGGGGACACTGTAACCGGGACTTCATCGAGCATCTTTGAGGGCGCAAAAGGTATTGCGGAACAGATGGGGCAAGGTTGGCAACGGACCAAAGATGAAACACATCTGCCTGCATGGCTGCAACAAATATTCGAAAAGGGCGAGGAGTCCGGCGATGGAGGATCTGGGCCTGATCCTCATCAAAGACCCACGCCTGCTACTGCAGCCGCTGCTTCGGCTGCCGCAGTGGGACTAGAGGTGATCAATGAGGGGGACGAACAAGCCGCGGCTGAAGATGATCAAATGATGGTGCTGACGAGGAAGATGATTGAAATCAGGAACATGCTGAACACTGTAGGTCAGGGCGGTGCTCTGACTCTGCCATCGATTGTTGTCATCGGATCTCAGTCCTCTGGGAAGAGTTCAGTACTCGAGGCCATTGTCGGACACGAATTCTTACCCAAGGGCACGAATATGGTAACTAGACGACCGATCGAACTGACGCTTATCAACACGCCTGATTCTCATGCGGAATATGGCGAATTCCCTGCATTAGGCATGGGCAAGATCACCGACTTCTCCCAGATTCAAAGGACCCTTACAGACCTCAATCTTGCCGTCCCCGTGGAGCAATGTGTTACGGACGACCCTATTCAGCTTTCTATCTACTCTCCACATGTCCCTGACCTTTCCATGATCGACCTTCCCGGATACATTCAAGTATCTGGCAAAGACCAACCACCCGAACTGAAACAGAAAATCGCCGATCTATGCGACAAGTATATCCAACCACCAAATGTTATCCTGGCAATCTCAGCCGCCGACGTCGATTTAGCCAATTCGACTGCGCTCAGGGCTAGTCGAAGAGTCGATCCTCGGGGCGAGCGGACGATTGGGGTGATAACGAAGATGGACCTGGTTGATCCAAACCGAGGCGTTGATATTTTGTCCGATCAAAAATATCCCTTACGGCTGGGTTATGTTGGTGTAGTGTGCAGGGTTCCTCAGACTGCCGGCCTTTTTTCTCGTTCAGGACATAACATCACGAGTGCCATTGTGAAAAACGAGAACGCATATTTCTCATCACATCCCGCTCAATACGGCCCCACGTCAGAAGTTTCGGTAGGGACAACGACCTTGCGGCACAAACTGATGCATGTCCTTGAGCAGACTATGGCTGCGAGCCTTGCAGGCACGAGAGATGCTATCATCCAGGAGTTGGAGGAAGCAACGTACGAGTTCAAAGTACAGTACAATGACAGGCCTTTGAGTGCCGAATCTTACCTCGCGGAGAGCTTGGACGGCTTCAAGCATTCCTTCAAAGAATTCAGTGAGCAATTTGGGAGACCGCAAGTTCGAGCGCTATTGAAGGAGGTTCTGGACCAGAAGGTCATGGATTTGTTGGCGAAGAGATACTGGAATAAACCGATAGAGGACCTTTCCCCAGTCCCGCCCGAAGCCGATCCGCTGTCCAATCTGCCTAAGGCAGACCCCGGCTCCTTATATTGGCAACGGAAGTTGGATGCCTCAACATCGGAACTGACAAAGTTGGGTGTCGGCAGGCTGGCCACTACAGTTGTGGCTTCAGAGTTGCAGCGTCATATCGACAAACTGATCGCAGCCTCCACTTTCGCCGCCCACCCTTACGCACAGCGTGCCATTGTCGATGCGTCGTCTAGTATTTTGAATGACCGATTCTACAGCACTAGCGACCAGGTTGAAAACTGCATAAAGCCGTTCAAGTTCGAGATTGAGGTGGAGCCCAATGAATGGAGCAAAGGCCGAGAAAATGTTGGTCGAGTTTTGAAGACTGAAATGAAGGCCTGCGAAGCAGCACAGAAACAACTTGAAGACAAAATTGGCAAAAAGAGGCTGAAGGATGTGATGGGCTTTGTCGACCGCGTCAGGAAAGGGGACGTTCTGCTTGAAGGAAAGGGCACTGGCGGTGCTGGGGGCTTCTCAGCAGACCTCTTGCAAAAAGGTATACCTCACTTCACATTATTATCTCTTCGAATGTGGCTGATCTAGTATACACAGGGCGAGAAGCCGTCTTCCTTCGAGATCGCGCGGACCTCATCAAAATGCGCCTGATGGCGGTCAAGTCCAAGCAGTGTGCCAACCTCAAGAACAAGTATTATTGTCCCGAGGTTTTCCTCGATGTGGTTGCCGACAAGTTGACTTCTACCGCGGTCCTCTTCCTCAATGTCGAGCTTCTTTCGGAATTTTATTACAACTTCCCGCGCGAGTTAGACATCCGGCTTGGCCGTCATCTCGATCATGCCGAGATTGAACGATTCGCGCGGGAAGACCCCAAAGTCCGCAAACATCTCGACCTCATCAAGCGCAAGGATATGCTGGAGATGGTCTTGGAAAAGATCGAGAGTTTGCGCCAACTGGAAGGTCGGGTGAAGCAGCACGCCCAGGTACCGGCGCCGGCGAAGGAGAGAGGGCGATGGAGTTTGTTTTGACGATACCACAATGCAGCGGGCGTTCCGGGTGTTTGATAGATGTAACACATTTCTTGCTCCTCTCGTAACCTCGGCGATTTGCACAATTACGACCTTTTGCGATCACTGCGGGAATCCTCTCACCCACTTGGGTTCGAAAAGACTGCCCGACAAGCCATCCGCATTTTGCGATGCCGAGTTCCACGGTATCTCGCCAGTCACTTCCTCGATAGAGCCATTCACGCCACCCAGCTTATCGCCGATCTTGACCACAGAATGCCGAATCATACGCGGATCAAGACTCAACATCCGTCGGACTTCTTGCTGGACCTTGACCGGCGCATCGAACTGCATCACAAAGTAGTGTCCCTGGTGGTGCTGGGTTTGATGCTTGGTCGTGGGGCGAGGGAGGTCGAACTGGCCCCAGTTCTTGATGCCGCGTATTACGCCTTTGTTGTCGAGAATCTGCTGCCCAGCGACTCGAGCAATCCTGGCCAACTGTCAGAAGGTCTTTCGAGAGAACAAAACGGACGGGGAAGAAGTACTCTTTGACATGAGAGAGATTGCCTGGGCGGACCTGCGCGACGTCAACATAAGGGACGTATATAGTAAAAAGACCTTGGGTTCATGACTTACCACCGCTACCAGTTCGTAGAGCATTGTCGTCAGTCTCGGGATCGATGGACAGACGTTGTTTCAGTGATTTCGACAGCCTGCGCATGTAAAACTCATGGGATCCAGACGACGACTACGGTGGAGCAGACCAGCTATCCGGCAGTCCTTGGAACTTGTGCGCAGCGGATATGTCGCCGTCGGGACATGCTGCGCTCACAACACCACCACCGGTGGAGAAGGCCTCTTTATAGGTCTCGAGTTGCTGGACAATTTTCTGCGCACTCTTTGACCGTCTTCTCGACCGATTCCGAGAAATAGTTTGGACAATGAGTACTCCAATGTTCGGCCGACTGCTGCCGACGGTCTCGCGACTGACCAGTCGAACAATCACTACCTCGCGCTCGTCACAGTTCCTCCCATCCTGCTACCAATGGACACGCTTCTCTCAGAGATCGTTTTCGTCCGGTTCGGCTTGTACGTGACATCAAACCAAGTATCAAGCTGAGATTGACGCGAATACCAGCCTACGTTAAGAAATACACAGAAGACCATGAATGGATCGAGCTAGACGCCGACGGCAAGACTGGTATGGGGAAGCAGCGCTTCATCCCTGTCCCTACATATTTTTGACGCGTTGCTATAGGTACTATTGGGATCACGGAATATGCAGCCAAAGCACTCGGAGATGTCGTCTACGTTGAACTCCCAGAAATAGGACTCGAGGTGGCCAAAGGAGATACTATCGGTGCCGTTGAATCGGTCAAGTCGGCCTCGGATATCCTGACACCCGTTTCGGGTAAGATTACGGACCACAACAAAGTGTTGGAGGAAAAGCCAGGTACAATCAACAAGGGTCCAGAAGCGGATGGTTGGCTGGCGAAGATCGAGGTGAGCGACACGGCGGAGCTAGATGGCTTGATGTCGAAAGAGGACTACGACAACTTCGAAAAGGAGTGAACCAAATCGATATCAGAGCGATCCTACTTCAACAAGGCGCGGCTCACTTGACCAGAATCTCGATAATCGGTGCTCCTGACTACATAATACCCAAGTGCAGTTAACGTGCTGCGAAATGCAGACGGGACTACCAAGGCCGGCGGGTTCGTTCATCCGCCAGTGCCAGCCTCCAATGTCCCTCATCCCTCAACTTCCAATTCACTGGTCTTGTTCGCCCCCTTGCCCATGCAAGCCGCTTGGAGATGTGTGTCTTCAATCTTATGGCGGTGCTCTTCAGGGTACGACTCCACGTCTGCCTCAAATCCGTCATCACTATCCGCTTCTCCCAAGAAGGCCGCGTTCTGGGCATCGAGAGATTCGTGCTTATCTCCCTCCACTGCCTTTATTGCCTCAAGGGCATCATCTGAATCTGCCTCCCCTAAAAATGCGGCGTTTTTGGCGTCTAGGGGCTCCCGTTTGTCTCCTTCTGCGGCTTTCTGTACTTCGAGGGCATCGTTAGAATCGGTCTCGCCCAAAAATGCCGCGTTCTGGGCGTCCAGCGCAGGAGCTGGAGGCCCGTAGCTATCTCGATATGCCTCATGGCCATCGTTGCTGTCTGCCTCACCCAAGAAGGCCGCATATTTACTATCGTTGAGATCTTCAGTCCGACTTGAAGCAGCCGATGACGGGGGTGGTCGGTTAAAGATTTGACCACCAGACCCCGGTGCTATATTTGCAACGCTGGGCGCGAGCCTGGCTGCGGAAAGGTGCAGACGTCGTCGAGGTAAGCAGCGGATTGAGAAACCCAGGAGGCCGGCCCTGGTAAGTGAGGCCATACTGAGCAGGAACGGGCGTGCTGCCATTGTGATAGTCAATCACGAAAAAGGAGTCGGCGTGCTATATGTCTACGATGGATAGCAAGGACAGCTTGGAGGTTCCGAATTGCTTGCTCTCTCATTCAGACTCTTAGGTGGCCTGAGGGGTTGTGTCAGTGCCTCATCACCTGATAAGAAGTCTGCATTTCGACCTTACAACCATGGGCTTCGCAGCTCCTCAACCATTGCTCAACGAAGAACAGCTATCTGCCAAACAGATGGTCGAGATTGAATAGCGTTTGCGGGGTACCCGCGAAGTCTGGGGTCTGAGCATTTATATGCTGTCCAGGGGCTACAATCGTCAAGCTATTCGAGGCAATCGGGTTACCAATGATGCACCGCCTACTTATGGGAAAATCTTGGATCTGCCCGAACGAGAGACAAAGCCAGGTATTGGTCACCACCACATTTCATTTCATCGGTTTGGACCACCCCCTTTACGATGTAACATCCTGGAAGCTATCTGAATCGAAGTATTTGGTGGAACGGTGGCAACTGTTCATTGAAGGTACGGATGGCTGGACTACAGCGTTTTGTGAGAACCATGACAGCGGGAGAGCCGTATCGAGGTTTGGAAGTGATTCTACAGCCCACTGGAAGACCTCTGCTGATATCATCGCACAGGGGCAAAGCACACTGACAGGATCGCTATTTCTTTACCAAGGTCAAGAATTTGGAATGTGCAACATCCCCGGATTATGGCCCATCGAGGAGTCTAAGGAGCACCAGTTTCTATCACGAAGCGGAGTTGGACGACGATACTAGCAGAAAGACGAAAGCGACGCAAGGAATACAGTGCTGGCGCGCGACCACTCCCGTTTGCCGTTCCAACATACATGCAAGGTTCAGGCTTATTGACAGAGAGAACGAGAAGACTTCAGCTATCTCAAGGTCGGTGATGGTGGAGAACGGAAGGCCCTCGTGTTACTCAATTGTAGTGCAGAGCATGTCTCGCTCCAGAGCAAGTGGTTAACCTGCTGGATGGGGTAGTGGGTGACTTCTTGTCGGAAATTTTGACGGAGGAACCAACCCATCAATTCTGAGCGCATATGAAGGCAGGGTATACGTCCACTACTGGACTTCTTCGACGAGTAGGGCCAAACAGCCACAAGATGCATCGCCGGAAAAGCCGCAGCCCACTCGATGGATACCTACTACGGGTGAAAACGCGATGTGCAATTTACACAGGTATTGAAATGCCACGGCTGCGTTATGATATATCCACAGTCCTTTGGTTATGTTTGGTCCTGGCGATAGCCCTGGACTTCAAAGCTCGGCTGCTCTAATCATTCTTTCCTCTGATGGGGTCGTAATCGGCGTCGTGAATCTCCTTCAGGAACTTCTCCGCCGCTTCCTTGTCATCCGCAAAGATGTGATCCGCCACCATCCTCCGAGGAGTCTCACCTAGCCATTGAAATAACGAGAAGTCCTGGAACTTGTCGGCCCGGAAGATTTCGAGGACTTCAACGGGCTCGTCATCACTCAAGTTTTCGATGAAGTGGCCCATGTTACGTGGGATGACACCGACGTCTCCGGCAACGAAATCAAATGTTCTGGCGGTACCCTCGGCTCCAAAGACAGTGACTCGCGCGCGGCCCTTGATGAAGAACGACCACTCGTCAGCATTGGGATGCCAGTGCATCTCTCGCATGGCTCCTGGCTGGATATCAAGATGAGCCGCTGCGATGGTCTTCGAAATTGGGAAGTTGGTCGAATCGGTGATGCGGACTTGTCCTCCAGTCGTGTTGACCGGTTCCTGGTCCATCATCTTATGTGTGAACTGGTATTGGGACTTCTTGACATGACGGCCGTCTGGCTTCTCCTCATCAATCGATCCAGGTAACGAACCTTGAAAGATGTACTTATCAGACTTGGGAATTGTCTTGAACACCTCGGGAGCAAGCCGGAAATTCTCCGCAAGAACAGCCTTCGGTGTGTGAGCTGTGAAAAGAGTGAGTACAATGTCAAGCAGAATACGTTATAGACGGCAAACTCACCCAGCCAATCTGTCAACAAGAAGGTAGACTCTTCGTTGAAGTTGCCGTCGTCGAAAACAAGAAGGAACTCGGTTCCATTGGGACTCAATCCCTGCAGAGAGTGCGGGTGACCCGATGGGAAATACCATAGGTCGCCTTTCTGGAGATCGTCGATGAAGCTGCCGCCTTCGGTGTCTAAAGCGGTGACACGGACGTTCCCTTCAAGTACATACGCCCATTCGGCCTCTTTGTGCCAGTGCAGTTCTCGTATTACCCCATAGTCGAGTCGCATATTGACGCCAGCGACTTCTTTGCTGGCACCCAGCTCTCGGACGGTCGTTTGCCGAGTCCAGCCACCTTCCTACAACACCGCACGTCAGAAATTGGCGCAACCCTGAGTGAAACAGGTAGAACTCACCTCGATCCTCATATGGGAATCGGCAAAGCTCCAACGCATGTTTGCCATGCTGCCGTGATCCGTGCTAGGAGGGCGAATCATGTCCGGGTTCTGCCTCTCCCGGTCCTTGTTCCGGGGACCCAACATGGAAGCGCCATCGCCGTTTCGCCAAGGGAGCGGCTGTAGGTCATCGCCGTAGGAGTCGATCTTGTGATCATAGGGATCTCTGTGTTTACGCGTGTAGGGACTGTTGCGGTCGAATGCCTTGATGGGATATTGATCCCTCTCGATGATGGGCACAGCCAAGCAGGCACTGGCCAAAAGAGACCAGATGAATAGCTGCATCTTTAAGCGGCAGAGTCTTAGAGTGAGGAAGCTGAGTTAGAAGAGAAACAGACCCTCGTGAGCCGGGCTTGAGTAACAACCTCGACCGTGTGGAGATATATACGTGCTCTCTCTTGCTACAGCTCTGGGGAGCTCGGTTGCAGCTGGCGTCTTTGTTCGTTTATGCAGCTGCTACATGTAAACACGAGACCCTTGGAACCGGCAGTTTCTCATCAGTCCTATTACCTGCCGCGTGGCTAGCATTTTAGCCATCGTTTGAGGATGGATCATTGACCGAGTAGGGACGTCATGAAGCCGCCGGTTCAACGTTTATCCATAGTGATGATGGCCTGTGTTGGCCAGCTTGATCCGGCACCTCCATCTTCCATCCTCCTCACATTTCGTTATTTGCCTCAACTGCCTCGTCTAGACAGTGACACGGTGCGAACTCCCCCGGCTGAGGAAATGGACGTACTGAAACGGTCTTAGATTCCGGCTGATAGTTTTGCTCCTTGACTAAGGTAATCGTTCTGTTGCTTGGCCGTTCCTGAGTCCTCTCATCGCCGGACGTCCCTACCCGGCTTTTTTGGTCGAAGCACCTTTACCCCAGTACCTACTCTGGACTTCAGGCAATCCTGCGCTTAGCAGAAGACAATATCCTTCTTCACTACTGGCCTAGTGCACGTTCCCCTCTAGAGCGAACATGCCTCCCGCTGACGGATATGGCACCCTGAATGGCGACGACTCTTCTCGTGATGTTTCCGCCGGAGAAGTCTCGAATAATGAAAGTGACGCGTTACTGGGCAAGCGGGCAGTCGTTGCTTCTTGGGAGGGCTTCCGCCAGTACATGTTGGACGACATTGACAGAAGATGGGCCGACCTTCTGCTTCTGTTGTCATACGTGATCACAGGCTTGCTCGACAGCTCGGCGGTCTTCATTTGGGGCTCATTTGTGAGCATGCAAACCGGCAACACCGTTTACCTGGGATTGGGACTGGTTGAGCCAACCAAAGGCACAAGATGGATACGGTCCATGACCTCGATTGGCTTCTTCTGCTTCGGCTCGTTTTGTTTCAGTCGCTTCCATCGCTACTTCTCACCCAAACGCCGCTGGGTCCTCCTGGCCTCGTTCACGACACAGTTACTGCTGGTTGTTACTGCGGGTATCATCGTCGTGGTGGACAGCGGGAGTGACAGCGACCTGCGTTGGGAGGTTCTAGTTCCCCTGGCACTGGTGGCATTCCAGAGCAGTGGGCAGGCGGTGACAAGTCGAGCTTTGGGGTATAACAGCCTTACCAGTGTCGTCCTGACGAGCATTTACTGCGACCTCTTCTCCGATCCTCTGCTCATGGCGGGCATCATGCGGAACCCTGAAAGAAACCGCAGGGCAGCAGCTCCACTACTTCTGCTGGCTGGTGCAATCTTTGGAGGTATGTGGGCTCATAGTGCCGTTGGTCTCGCTGGAGCATTGTGGACAGCAGCCGGCTTGAAGTTCACGATCATGCTGGCATTTCTCTTATGGAGGAAAGATCCGAAGACAACGCAGACCTGATGGTCGTACACGAAACAACAGGCAGCAGAGATTGGAGCTGGAGCTGCGGATAGACTCGATGCTGGGCAACCTGGGCACTCATTGTTGGCGTTCTCCAACTTGGTGTCCTCAAATGGAAATCCCGCCCGCTGGCCGAAGAGATGTCTACTACGCTCAACTTGGCCCCGCCCAGCGGTTCTGGTCCATGTTATATAGCCCATGTCCAATACGAGTTCGTCATGTGAATCTGGTGAAGCTCCTGATGAGCGCAACGGATCTTGTGGTTTCCGGCAGCCAAAGTGTAAGGTCTACGCCTCGTCAGTGAAAGGCGGATAGTGCGACTAGATAACGATATTATGCTAATGGCGGTCGGAAATTATCTTGTTTGTATATGTATTGTTTCCGGAGTGTCGCAAACAGTATCTTTATTGAATGCCCTCTCTCTTGACTGTACAGTTTTGTCTCCTATTTGAGAAGGCTCGAGCTCACGTACCGCTCCGGCTGCTAGTAAATTTAGAGGTATTTGTGGAAGAAGTTCAACAGTGTTTGGTATGCTTTCTCATACGCGGCCTTGACCTTCGGATCGTCCAGATCACTTCTGGCGGCCATGAAGCCGTGCACCTGGTCGGGATACCATTCCACCTGCTTGGGCACTTTCAGTTTCGCCTCATACTGTTCAACGGCGGCCTTATCCTCATCCTTGGATGGAATCATGAGCATCGGAATCGTCACATCGGGAGCGTCGTTCGGGTCGACCATTGCCGGGTGGCACGCAGCAGCTGCCTTGAATGGCGTTCCAGATTGAGAGACCAGGTTAACAATCTGACGGCGACAGTTGTTAGCGACGGTTGCCAGTTGCAGAACGCTAGGGTAAACAACTCACTTTCCCACCCCAGCAGTACCCAACTATGCCCCAGTCTTTCACTTCTGGGTGGTTGGCCTTCAATTCCCCAATTACCTTCTTCACTCGTTCGACAGTCTTGGGAGGTGCAGCAGTGGTCTGAAAGAACTCGCCCAGCTTCTTTCCCTTCTCTTCTGTATCAGGAGGGTACCATGAGATGTCGGCTGGTTTGCCTTCGAACCAGTCCGGCATAAAAATTTGGTATTGGTGGTCTTTGTCTGCATGGGCAAGGATATCGGCACCCTGGAGGGTTTGTGGGAAGAACCCGAAGATGTCGAAGATGACCAGGATGCCCTGCTTAGCTGACGATGGTCCGGTGGTATCTGATCGCACACAGTAAGCTTTTGTCCCAGTAGCGACTTATCTGTGGCATTCCATGTACTCACAAGTCTTCAGCCCGTCGACAGTAATGTAGCTACCCTTCTCTTTCTGGTGACAATGTCAGCACAAACAGGAACTCCGGTGGCAGTGGAGCGGAGGAAACGTACATAGCCCTTGCTGACGACGGCTGGGGTATTGCAGCCTACCAAACAATTTAGCATTCATTCGTGCGTCTTTAGTGCAGAGAGTCCTTACAAGCTGCCGAAGGTGTCTGCGACATGCTGGCGAGAGTTCTCGACTGAAGAGGCGTGGCGACAGATCTGGATGAGGTCGAAAGCTGTTGTGCTAAAGCAGAGAGCCTACGCGAAGTCATGAATTGGAGAAGAAGTCCAATGATGCATGTAACCCCAAGTTCTTTGGTGGCTCAGAGAACAGCTTGGGTTCTTCTTGCGCAGTGTGTGATGATGCTTATGAGAGCAGGATAAGTGACGACTTCTGTCGATATTCAGAGAAGCATCTTGAATCCCACCCACTGCACTGCGACACTTTATCGGCACGTACATGATTGAAAGCCGCATGAGGGGCGCATGCGGGGGTCTCAAACTTCGGAATAGTACGTACGGATCATGCTGTCATCCATCACGTCGACCTCCCCTGCCAGTGCCTCCCTACAACAAGCCGACAGATAAGCTACGCCGCGATAGGAACAAGTCGGAAGACATCATATTGCCGCGGATCAATTGCCGCGGAACGACGCTGAACAACCCTGAGATCGATAATGTGAGACTGCAAACGCTGTACAGCACAGGAAGAGTACACACGGCCCTTCAGATGCTGGACATCGCTATGCCCGCCATCTCCTGCTCTTCAACCGAACCTTGAATTCCGATTGTTTCAAGAACCATGCGTTGTGAAGCTTCCATGGCTTGGACGGGTCTGCCAGCTCGACCTGCACAGACATCAGCTATAAACCGCGTAAAGGTATGAGAGGGACAAGGAACCATGGACCTACTTCGAATCGCATCAAGACAGCCGGGACCAGCTTGTAGAGCTCCAACAAGCTCACATTCTTGCCGATGCATGTCCTGGATCCAGCTCCGAAGGAAAAGATCGAGTTCTCCATCAACCTCCTCTGAGGAGGTGAAGCTTCCAGCCAGCGTCGAGGACGGAATTGGTCTGTATGCTCTCCGAACAGGGGATGACGGTGTACTACCCATGCATTGCAGCCAACAATCGTTCTCTCTGGAATGAATTGGCCGCAAATTGTGACCCCTGCAGGTGGCACTATTCTCTCCAATACAAGAGCCGCAGCTGGATGGCAACGCAGTGACTCTTTGATGACTGCGCTCAGGAAGGGAAGATCCTTTACGGCGCTCCACCCGACCAGTCCGTCCTTGTTGGAAAACAGGCCTTTCTCTCTCTGAGACCAAAGTTCTTGCATCAGGCTATGCATGTCATGTGGATTTTGCAGTAAGTGATAGAAGATTGCTCGTAACGTGATGGCGGTTGTGTCAGATCCAGCAAACATATTCGCAACGGTCAGCGCCAGCACTCGCTCTCGGGTGATGAACTCGGGATCCTTGCGATGCGCCTCATAGAACCTCGACAAAAAGTCTCTTCGTGTCAGGTTTCCATCATTGGTTGTTTGCATACATTTGTCGCCATGCTCCGCTTCATACAGACGACCGGCGATACGGGCTCTGGCAAAGCTCGCCACTGGGGTGTTGGAATTTACCATCCCATATTTACTGGCCATCAAAATAAGTGGGTTTTTGAGGAACAGTTTGTCCAGTGCTGGAATCTGGCCGATCTGAAGATCCGTGAGTTAGAGGAATGCAACCCTTGGAGGACTGGTTCACACCCACGACTGAAACATAGTTCAGCAACCTCTCCAAATTCCCGATAATGTTGTCCACATCCTCCCCTCTCTCCACGAAGCCCAATCGCTGTGAGTATGTGAGCTCGCCGATGACATCAAATGCATAGTATTGAAGCCAGGTCCCAAAATCACACACCCCACTAGGGCCTGGCTTGTCTGCAAACCCCTGCTGCAAACGATCCAGGAACGCAGACGTGGTTGAGTCTACTAGAGGTTCAAATTGAACCAAAGTACTCATGGAATACGCACTGGAGACCGCTCTCCTAAGTCTTGCGTGGAACTTCTCGTCGGTGGAGGTGAACAAGGTATACAAGCGACGGCCCTTTGCGATCGTCTGTTGGACGGGGTAAAACCCGGATTTGACGAATCCAGAGTTCAATGCGTATATGATGTGAACGGCACCTGGATCGGACACAGATATGGCGTTGGGTCCCAGGCGCACCAGCGGCCCATGGATTTCGTGCAAGCGGATATGTTCAACCTCAGGTCGTCGGCCCCAAACGAGGAAAAGGCGCCAAAGGTCAGTACAGGAGGCCAGGGTTGGACCTGGAATATGGTTGATCCTATTCCAATACTTGTTCAACAGGACTCGCGTGACAAGGAGGGTGACTGAAATCCAGCATACAAATAACACTGAATGAGTCTGCAGCCGACCTTGGACTTGGTCGAACATCTTGCTCCTATAGTAGGTACGCTCTGCGGCACGGAGGCGAGGCAGAGATGGAAGTACTCACGACTTACAAATCGAACAGGATATTAGATACTTACAGATTTTATGGAAGCCAACACTATTCCCCACAACCATTCCTCGATGGTCAACTGCCGACAAGGCGGAGGGAGGGTTCTTTGCGGGGATCGGCTGCTGGGGTAGACGGACTATCAAACGGCGGAATGCCACCGCGTTGATTGTCATTTCTCGAACCGTTCTCCTTCGTTGTTTGAACGTCTGGGCACATGTCAAAGGACTTGGTGACCCAGAACAACGACAGGCTTCCGGTCTTGTTGATGGAGCCAGACATAAGAAAATCTTCACATGGGTGGTCAAGAGAATAAAAGGACGACAGTACAAGAGTCCGATGCCCGACCATTTTGACCGATGGTACTTGGACACTTCCAATGTCAGATTCAGGACCTTCAGTCCTTCACAGGAGGCTCCGAACAACAGATGGCGCTGGACGGAAGACACCTAACATGCAAAAGACTTTCTTTAAGCCGACCACGCGACGGAGGCAGAGCATAATAGACCATGGTCGTGCTTCATTATGGAGCGATGATCGAGACGTCCTACACTAATGAACGAGAGCGGCTAAGCTGATAGACCAGCATGTCAATTGGTACATGCCGTTACTGCGCACCAGGTCTCTGTGAAAACCTGAGCTTGTAGGGGAATGTCAATGAAACAGCCGCCATGGTGAACCAACGCAGCGATACCTTCGACTTCTTTTGACTGCATCGGTGGCTTGTCTCCCTCGAGCACTATCCAGAGGCGATGAGGGCGCACAATCAATCAATTCTGAGGGACGTAATCTGGACGCGACTTGTTCCTGTGATTCTGACTCGACTGGCGCTCTTCGGTGAGCAGCACATGGGACTAGTGGGAAAGCCGAGAGACCGCGGTTCAGACCACCGTCCAAGATTCCATGACTCCCAGCGTCCTGGGTTTGGATCTGGGAGGGCCTCTGCTAGTCAACGGGCATCAGTTTGATGTTTTGCAGTTCACAGTGAGAGCAAGAGGATCATGGCCTGAGTCGTATAAAACTACGGAGTCAACAGTTGCACCGGCTGTTCTGCTCTCGAACCAAAAGGAAGGGCATGATGGATGACGTCCCTTATCGCTGTCATCCTTACCCCATATCCATCTATCTACCTTTGGAGAAACTCAGACTTCTTCAGCGCGGATTTTAACTTTCATGAATGGTATGAGTGGCTGACTATCAGCCACGGGAAGATAGTAATCATCACACCACCTACCTCGTATCCTGCACATCCCCTTTATAGGCCAGCAACCTCCCCTTGATCGCTCCCAACTCTTTCAGCTTCGACCGGATAGCTGCAAAGAACGATATCATTTATCTACACGATGAAGCCTTTCTATCGCGCAGCAGTGAGAGGCCGGTGTGTCCCGTTGACAACAACACGACAATACGCTTCAACTCCCCGGCTGTTTCAACCCACTGCCCTTCATCGTGCTGAAGCCGCTGCCGACCTGAAAGCGCATCCCGAAAGTCAACTCACGCAAGAAAAACTCCCGGATAAGGAGCACAGTCATCACTGGGACGACGCGAATGCTACGCCGAGTGAAGCTGATGTATGGCCACACACTGCAAGGGGATGGGATAATAGCACTGACGAGCACCTGGTAGATCAAAGCAGATCGTGAGACCCGCGAGGAGGCGGCGAAAAAGAAGCAACAAGACAACACAGCCGAGAAGTGAAGAGGGTCAGTCAGTACGCGAGGTTGTTATCAAGTGGCAGCCCGGTCGAACAGAAGCTACGGAGTGGGCCCCGAACGATGGCTGGACAAAATATGGCGCAGTAGGAAACATCGCTTCGATTTCAGTTGATGCCTATAGGTACATACCTCAGGCTATGTCTTTCACGAACTGTTCACGAAGGAAGGTGGTTAAAAGTTACGGGCTTGGAGACCAACTTGAATTCCCAGAGACTGATGTCTGCCACTAGTAGACCTGTACAATGCGCGTGAGTCGGGAAAACAGTCAAATGTTTCACCGTCCGTGCTGCGGTTGACTTGTCGCTGGATTCCATAGGCTCAACCAAGTCCAACGCCAGACCTCGCCTACACTTCCAGTACAGCTGTTTGTGGGAACGAAATTGCCGCCCTTCCTAGGCCCGACTCTTCGTCTCATCAGAATCAACTGATATTGCCTCGTCCATTCTTGGGGAGCGTGCCTGCTTTACACTCCGCGAGTCAATATTGCAAGACCCATAGATGTTAACGTCAGTTGGTATCTCGTGAAGCCATGAGAAACCAGTGTCTGCATGGTTCATTGAAGACACTCTTATTGAGGCGTTTTCGGTCTGCTATCTGTTCCCTCTCGCCCTGTGGTTCTCGTCTAACGCCCAACCTTCTCGGGAACAAACTAACGAGAGCACTCACACCTACGGCAGTCGGGAAGGACCATTTAAACATTGCTTCTTGACCGTATGCATTGTTGCTCCATGCTCAACCCACCCCGGGATACATTCATGAACAATGCGCGTCAAATCAATTGTGCCATCCGCAAAGGTACACATTGGTTTCTGCTAAGGTTCAGGAAGGATCGGGCAACGTAGCGTGGATTTGACTGCCACAGAGCAAGCAATTGGATCAAAGCACTGGGCCTGGGTCTTTTGCTTTCCTTCGACTCCAGAAGCATAAAGACGGGTGTCAGCCTTGCGGTAAGTAATGTCTGTGTTAGTCGAGCGTAGTGAACTCTTCGAAGTATTCTCTGGGTGTGACGGACAGCGCAACATTACTCGGAGAGACTCTTGCATGCCAAGACGTTGGTTATGGCCATACATCGATCTAGAACCATTGGAAGGACTCCTTTCACACGAGATTCCACAATGATATCAAGCCCGCAACTAGGCCCCCTGATCCGACAAGTAGCTTGACAGCATCACTTGTGTCCGATGCCGAAGCAGCTGATCGTGTTGTCGACCCAGTTTCCGACGCGGTCTGTGACGCGCTACCTGATGCCGAAGTGCCTGAGTCCGAAGCTGAAGTTGACGTGACGGAGCTGGACGTCGTAGAAGCGGACGTCGAGGGAGCGGCAGGCGCAGTGCTGGAAGTAATATTGGGGCCCGGCCCCGCCGTGATCATCCCACCATTTCCACCTGGATATGTCCCTCCTGCTGTAGCGGTAAAGTCTTGTGGTACCTGGGTCTGATTGCTGGCAAAGTAGTACATTGCAGCAGCAGGTGTTTGGCCTAACTTCGACTCGTCCAAGAAAGACGGTAGGTTGAAGTTTGTGCGACTCGTAGCATTGAAATCTTCAAAGTTTTGAGGGAAAGTAAAGTTTGCATGTTGGAAAAAGGCATAGATGATGTAGCGATGGGCGGCAGAGTCGGTAGGAGGAGATGGTCCGAGGTGGGGTACTCGCGGCGCAGATGAGTTGACCAACTGACTAGTGCCATCAGGGGACTGCGCCGCGACTGTCATGTCCGTCTGAAGCCAATGTAGGATGAAGCGTAGGTTCGGGCTTGAAGGATATCTCGCATCAGGATCGACCATGAGGAGCACATAGGACCCATTGTAGGTTGCAATAGATTCGTAGCTCGCAGTCTCGACGGCGACGGTAGGCTCTTTGGCAGGAACTATGAACGGTCAGCAGCAGCGGCAAAGGCAGCGAGAGGTCAAGCAGCATGACATGGCATACTGTCTACACCAAAGAGATCTGCCTCTGCAACGACAAATGAATTGCCATTGGCTTGGTAGGTCACCGAGAGCTCTGTGTGGTTTGGAGCCTCAGGGAAGCCGAAATCTGGGGGAGGAATGGCCACGGCCAAAGGAAGCGCGACCAAGAGCGAAAAGGCGATGGTCCAAGTCATGATTGACAGTCTCAACTTGATGATATGGCAGGGAAATGAAAATCAGAAGGGATGGAATCCATCTTGTCCTGTACATTTCAAGCTTGGGAATTTGTTCAATGCAGACATTTCAGCTGAGACATGTACAACGTCATCTGAGGATGGTCCGCTGGTGTACTGCACCAACGATTGGAGACAAACGCCGCTCGTGTTACCATTATTAGGTTTCTTCTTGTTGCAAGAGGACCAAAGTCAGCCTCCGCATTGTTGTGACAAGATGAATACACGTACCTTAGGTTGGATAGGGCAATACTCCACCGTATATCCAGCCTACGGGGGAGCATTGGCCTACTATCGTGGCTAGACTTCGCCGAGAGAATGGAGGCACCGAGCCACTTCTCCTCTGTTAGGACCGAGTCGGCATAGGCAACCTTCTTTGGTCAGGATTTGGCAGCTGGTATTGCGGTACTTTCGCGCTTTTGGACCTTTGAGGATGGCAACTTCACCGCCCTCTCCCCACTTTCTGCACGGGATCGTATGTCTGACCCCAGAACTACGCGACATATTTGCCAGTGACTCCTGCGTCAGAGGTGGGTGTCCTCTTCAACTACCCAGTCATAGAACGGGGACCTGATAGCACAGCCTGAGCGATAGCACAGGTGATAGCAAAAAAATTCTATCAGATTAGATTTGATCGACAAAGTCCCACTTTTCCGACCTCGGGCCGGCCATGCGTTGTGGTGGCCGCTGGTCTCATAAATGGGCATATATTCCCTTGGAAGGTCATTGTAGCAGGCCGGTCGACATGTTGAGTCGCTCCTTGAGATTTTACACCAAATTCCTGAAAATGCCATCCAACGAAGGTCTGGGTGCTACTGGCCGCATGCGTCCTTTCAAGGTGTTGATTCTCGGAGGCTCTTACGGCGGACTGGGAACCGCTTTGAATCTCTTAGACCTGTGCAACGGCAGATCGGCTCGGTTTTCAGCTGCACAAGTCGAGCCTCACGACCATGGCAAAATCCCAGTCGATATCACAATTGTAGATGAGCGTGATGGCTATTGTGAGTACAGCGACCACAAATACTCTTGATCTTCGGCCTAATTTGGACCGATATCAGATCATCTTATCTCATCACCCTTGGCATTGGCCTCAGCTACGTTCGCTCCCAAAGTCTGGACGAAGTTTGCCGAAATCCCTGCTCTGAAGCATGTCAACTTCGTTCAGGGCTCCGTTAGGACAGTGGACCCCAAGAGCAGAAGAGCGACCGTCTCAGACACGACCACGGGATCTCTGAGAGAACTAAGCTACGACTTTTTAGTAGCTGCCACGGGCCTCCGACGGGTATGGCCCGTTGTGCCACAATCATTTACCAGAGAGAGCTACCTGGTTGAAACTGACTCTCAGATCCGCAAAGTTCGAGATGCACAGGAGGGTGTTGTGGTCATTGGCGGAGGTGAGATGTCCATCCTTCAAAGTGGTACACTGCCACTGACAGTTTGCAGGCGCCGTGGGCATAGAAATGGCCGCGGAAATCAAAATGGTTATGCCCGACCAGAAGGTCACATTGATACATTCGAGAGATAAGCTCTGCTCTGCAGAACCTCTCCCGGACGAATTCAAAGAGACATGCCGGACTAAATTGCACGAGGCTGGAGTTGACACCATACTGGGCGAGCGTGTTCTTGAGACGGAACATGTGAGCGAAGACGGTAAATCCGTCTCGGTTCTCAAACTTTCCAGTGGCAGAGTGATCAGAGCCGGCGAAGTGATATACGCCATATCGAGGAGCTCTCCAACAAGTCAGTATCTTCCACCCACAGCCGTGGATGAAGATGGCTACGTTAAGATCACCCCATCGTAAGTTTTGCTAGCTTGATTAAGCCCTCCAGAGCTTACTTCCAGAGCTTACTTGTGGCCAGGTTACACTTCCCTTCAGAAATATCGAACTCCCAGTATCACTTCGCTGTGGGCGATATGGCCAAGTGGTCCGGCATCAAACGATGCGGATCTGCAATGCACCAAGGACAATACGCCGCACAGAATATCCATCAGTTGATGCTCGGTGAGACCCAAGGCACAAAGCCCGAGTTTATGGAATTGAGTGAGGTGCCGGCCATGATGGCTATAGCAATTGGGAAGCAGGGAGTTGCCTATTATCCCACTGAGGGCACAAAGTCAGGGGAAGATGTTTTACAGACCTTCTTCGAAGACGATCTAGGCAACAGGAGTACGCATATCTTGACCTCCTTTTTGACCATTTGGCTAATCCTTGATTATAGTATGCTGGGATCACATGCAACTCGGCAAGGAATTCCCTTGCACAAGTTGAACCCTGAGAAAACAGGCGAAGAAAGCGTCCATGCACGACGCTCAGAGATTCCAAAGCATTAAGAGATCATGGATGGGTTTGTGACTGGTCATAAAGTTGGAGGGAAATCCGGATCATGGAAAAAATGAGATTCAAGTAACAATACATATGGCATATTTCTGTTGGAATTTGGAAGCCAACCTCATACTGAAGGCGACAACCAGGGCATTTCTCAAATTGTGACTTACGATATATCGCTCTCTGCGAAGTGCATGTTGCGTGATGATGACGATTACAGGCATGACGGGCACCGGGGCACTAGTCTTGTTCAGGGGCCGGTCCGCCAGGTACACCATTGACGTCCGCTATTCTTGAGGCGCATTTCTGGCCCGTCTTCCCACCCAGCTAGCAGGTCCGCCAGCGGACAATGGCATCAGCCTCTCGCCGTGGATTCTGGTTGTGAAGCGCCGGGTTTGATTCGGACCATTCGCAATCAATTACAACCAAAACCTCGGTTCTAGTTCGGGTCCCGCGGAAAGGATCTTTCGTTCTACCGTGGCTCCCGCCTCCTCGATACATGGCTGTAGCAGCTATGATCCGATGTCGCAGGGCGGTCCTCAGAACGAGTATCCTGCCGTCTTTGAGCTTGTGCATGAATGTGGGTAGCGATATGGGACCTACCAACAACATGTCTGAGGTTAAGAGGCTCTTTTTCCTGGGCATCGAGCTTCAGAAAGAAGTTGATTGGACTTTATCTTATCAGATGAAAATTTTCACCGTTCGATCATCAACATCGCCCCGATTGCACTGCGTTAGGTTGTCTCGGCGAAGTGGCCTCGTCAGGCTCGGCGGTCAGGGGCGGTGGAAATTAAGTTATCTGATTCACCCAATTTTATCTGATCCGAGAAAAGGTGGAGTGCCAAGCAGATCCGCTGTGTCAAACATGCCGCAACGCCCCGAGTACATGGCGTATTACTTACTGTGCGGTTACAGGCAGTACGAATTACCAACGGTAACCCTTGTGTGACGACTTTGACGACTTATGGTACCGCTTTGATTTTACTTGCTCCAGTTCTTGGGAAATGTAGTATGGAGATCGATCAGTCTTGTCGTTTGAGGTCCCGCCAATCTTATTCTGCGTGCAACCCAGCTTTCTTTGCATATGAAAGACTCACGTCGACATCTTTGCGTATTGGGAAGGGAAGGGCACATGGGCTTGGATAGGAACGCACACGTCATGTCTTTCGACTTGGTCTGCGTCGGATTCGGCGTTACAGCCCTCTCGCTCGCCATCACCCTGCACGAGCGAGGAGCACTGGACAACACGCTCTTCCTCGAAAGTCAACCTGCATCAAAATGGAATCCGTGTTCGAGTTCAGCTGGTGGCCGGATGAGGACTTCGTTCCTGAACGACCTGATCACATCAGAGAACCCGCGCTCCAGGTTCACGTTCCTGAAATACCTCCATGCGACCAACAGATTGGCACTCTACGCGAATAGTTCCCAGATACAGCCTTCACGAGAGATGTTTGCCGACTATCTGCGCTGGTGCTCGGCGTCTTTCCAGAACAATGTCAATTTTGGCAAAAGGGTCACGGCTATATTCCCGGTGAGAGAAGACCAACAGCCCGTTCGATCCTGGAATGTGGTATTCTCAGACTCGGTCACTGGGCAACAAGACTCGGTGACCACCAAGCAAGTCATTTGTGCCGCTGGCTTACAGCCATTTATTCCCGCACCCCTCTCCAGCATCATGGACACTTCGCCCGATGTGGTCCATGCGACAGACTGCCTGCAGCGCATCTCGTCGACTATGCGCACGACGGGTGGCAAGTGTCACTTCGCCATCATTGGTGATGGGCAAACTGCTGCCGATGTCTTTGACCATATCCATGGCATCCGAGGTGATCATCAGGTGACTTGGTTCACGCAAGATCCCGTTCTAAGAGGAACCGACGACAGCCCTTTGTGAGTACTCATCTGGAAGATTCAGTCATATGGTAAGCTGACCTGAACGATACAGCATCATGGACAATACAAGGAAGCCGAGTTCTAAGGTGGGACAAGCGTTGCCTTTGGAACTAAGACGAAGAGCCATTGGCGACGGTCTCTGTACAGATTCTGTGTCGGCGATTGACCGTCATCTCTTGATGAGCATCTACGAGGTTCAGTATGCACAAAGTGTCAAAGAATCTGATGCGAATAAGTGGAAATTCCAGGTCAAATTCCAGCATAAATTGGTCGGGGCGGAAAAGGTAGCAAATGGCAAAGTCCGACTGTCATTCCAACGGCCTGAGTTTGAAGAACAACTATTCGGATGCAATATATTCGACCTGGTCATTGCCGCAACAGGCTACGAGAGGACTGAATACAAGAAAATCTTGGCTCCGTTGCTTGGTATGCTTGACGGCCACCAAGTCACGGTGAACCGAGATTATCAGGTCAACTTCCGGACCGGATCCTGCGGCGTAGGATGCGGCTTGTGGCTACAAGGCGCATTGGAAGGAGAAGATGTGAGTTTTCGGTCCTTCAACCTCTTAGCTTGCTGATTCTAACGACGTAGATGGACGACGACTTGTACCCAATCCTCGCAGCAAGGAGTAAACGTGTTGTTGATGCGATAGTGTCGCAAAGAATGGAGCAGCCGACTGCTCCGTTGGCTGAGGAGAGAGTGGCACACCTATAGACAAACGGCAGTGAAGGAATATGTGTCAAGAAGATCAGGGTACTGATTTAGCGTGAAAGGACGTAGGCGACTCTAGATCGTCTGGACCATGTCGCAAAAGGTCCTGGTTATGGCCATAGCATCGGAAGAAGGCTTACGCAAGCTCTGAGTCTGACCATCTTGAGCTTACGCACCGTGTTTGGAAGGCTTCTAGAAGCCTCAGATCATAGCTCAACAGATGACAAGCCTTTGGATTGTTTCCCCAACTCATAGTTTTGCCCTCTCTTTGGACAATATCTGCTCCGCCAGTTTTGCCAGCTCGAATTTTCTTACCTTTCCGCTGCCCGTCAAAGGAACAGTAGATGGTAGACCATCTTCACCCAGCCAGAAGACGTATGCCGGAGCTTTGTGCCTCCCAAGCTTCATCCTCACCCAGTCACGCACACCCTCGTCAGTAAGGTGGCTGTACCTGCCCGAAGCATTTGTTGCTCGTTGGAGGAATGCACCCACCACCTCCCCATATCTGCTGTGTTTCACACCCACGACGATTGCTCGCTCAACGGCTTCATGCTGAACGAGTCTCTCTTCAATCTCCAGAGGGTAGATGTTCTCTCCACCTGGTCGAATGTGTCAGTGCGGTAATAGGTTTGGACGACATGTGCAGCTTACCTCGGATTATGATATCCTTGAAGCGACCAGTAATTGTGCATGTGCCGTCATCGTGAAAGACGGCCTCATCGCCTGTATGCAACCACAACACTCCCTCCTCGTCGCGAATCATCACTTCAGCCGTCTTCTCTGAGTTTCTCCAATATCCCCGCTGCAATTGATACCCGGCAATGCACAATTCACCACGCTGGCCGATGGGAAGTATGTTTCCATTGTGGTCAACAATTTTTGCGTGTGCATGGGGCATAACCTTGCCGACAGTTGATAGCTTCAATTCAATTGGATCATCATGGAACGCGTTGAAACACGTCGGAGAAGCCTCGGTCAGACCTTTGCACAATGAATCAGTAAATATGGTCCGAATATGACTAAGGCATAAGTACCGTAGCTACTCGTAAACTCTGTCATTCCCAACTCATTAAACAGAAGCTCCATCAAATGCTTCGGGACGGGTGCCCCAGCAATAATACCCGTCCTGAGTCGATAGCAGTCAAAGTCTTCCGGCCGTGGTAGGCTGAAAATGGAATCGAACATGGCTGGCACTCCATGAAGACCGGTACATTGTTCTTCGGAGATTACTTTCAAGCATGCAGCTGCATCGAAAGTCTCGCTCGGGTATACAACCTTGCCACCGTGGGTCATAATCGCTAGCAGTCCGAGGACGAGACCGAAGCAATGGAACAGCGGTGGCGGACAGCACAACACATCGTCTTCTGTGAAAGCCATTCGGTCACCGATGAACCGACTGTTGTTGACAAGAGAGCTGGTGCGGAGTTAGTTGGGAATCGTGACAGTGAAATGGGAGCAGCTGCGACACTTACTAGTGGGTGAGCATTGCGGCTTTCGGATTTCCAGTGGTGCCGCTTGTGAACTGAAGATTGCAAACATCGTGAGCACTGAACTGCGTGGACACGTGATCCAATATATCACCCGATGCGGCGGCGCCTGCCTCGATAAGGCTCGTGTACGACGTAAAATGACCTGGATAGCCCCTTAGGATAATGATGTCCTCCAGTGTCCCAGGATTCTTGGTCAAGCTAGACAGCAGCCTTCGATTGTCATGGTAGCCGATTCTGGGGGTGGTGAAAAGCAGCTTGCATTCTGACTTTCTGTAAGTATGCCTGTGGCAGTCGCAACTCAGTATTTCAGACTCACCTGTAAACTCCAGTGCATACCGCGCCTCTGAGGGAGTGTACGTATTGTTCAAGATGACCAAGATGCAACCTATTCGCATACAAGCAAAGAAGACAGAGACATACTGCTCACAGTTGCCAGCCATAATACCGATACGATCACCGGGTCGAATCCCTCGAGAAGCCAAGGCCTTCGCCAGCCAGACGCTTTCTTGCCGCAGATGTTCGTACGTCCATCTTGCTCCTGTCCATGGTACTATCAAGCACTCGTTAGAGCTGTATTTGGTACATTGGAAGTCGAGTAGCTCAGCCAACGTAAAGTCGAGCAAAGGGACGTCGGCGTCGCCATGGACAATGGAAAGTGCCGGGGGAGGAAAGAGATTTGTCTCGCTGCTCGACTCCAACGCCATTGTTGAAGATTGCTAGGCTTCCTGGAATCCCAGTGTGGCAGCTGGAGAGACATGAGCTAAGTACGATATTATCGCCCTTTTCGAGGTGCGCTGTCCGCCTAGAGACCACTCATCTCGGATTCAAAGGCGTGTGCATCATCACATAGCTGCATTGATTGACATGCGGGAAATTCTGCCAGGCCCCGCCAGCGACATCCGATCTCGGTCGAAGCTACTGAGTCGCCAGTCCGAAAGGCACTGGGCCTGTTCACAAATTTTTGGGGACATACCAGTTCCGAAGCGTTGATTTGGGTGATTGTCCCACGGTCCCATGGGTTTCGAATTAACGGGCGTGGTTGCAGTGGTAATACCGTAACATACCACTCTCTTTTCGTCATAGTGTAACTTACAGTACCCTGTACTGTATTTTTCAGACGTACACAGCGTATGTACGTAGTAAATGACGACAGTGGAGACATCACATCAGTGGCTTCAGCCCACCGTTCAGCCTAAGGAAGTACTAGTACCCTAGTCTGTACAGAGCCTCTGGCTTAATTCTTATTAGTCAAACTCGTGATAGCTAAACCGAATTCGTAAAATACTAGTAGTAGTGCAATCTTACTGTAATAGGCATAGCGCGAAACGAGAGCAAACCCTCATCCAGGAGGACGCCTGTATCATTAGGTACACCTAGGTAGTACCTATTTGATATGTCTGGCGCCTTCCTCATGAAATGTAAATTTCCAGATTCAAGGTTCGAGACCGAACCGGAGCAGGATCGGAGCCGGATCAGAACTAGATCAGAACTAGATCAGATCAGATCGACACCAAATCGAGCTCGCAAGTCGATATAATGGCTGTCTTATTGATCTACTACCAACGAGACATATTCTACGCTCCGCGGAGGTACCTAAGACGTAGCCAGCGGCGAGATTTTGCTGTTTTTCGATCCCTAAGGTGGGAATATACTACTTACTTAGTAGGTATGGATGTCGCAAACGCGCAAATACAGTGCTACTTTGTAGTACTATCTCATGACCTTAGCTACAGTATACAGTACTTATATGTGGGCTACTAGGCCTAGTAGAGGGTGGCGACGACTTTGCCTCGGCTTACGGCATGCCTACGCCCTATCTGTGCTATAACGCTACCAAGTAAACATCAAGTACTGAAAAGATAGTAGTAGCACCAGTAATCAACGCTCCTAGTACCAAGTCATATCCTATGCTGTCGCCAAAACTGACCTTTCCCAATACAATCCATTCTACGAATCATGCTGCTGACTGAGGCGAAATACCTATTAACGGTCGAAGAAATGAAAGTAGATTCGGCGAGAAACTGCATTGGTAGAACAGCGAGAGCAATTTGAACCGAGTCGCTCGGAGGCCACCACCTGAAGAGTGACGATACAGCCTGATTGAGATAAAGTTGAGCCGGCATCTGATTTGACTTACATAAAGCGGCCACGATGCCATGACGGAAGTGAAGTCGTGGGTAGTGGTCAGGTTTTGTTATAACCTGAAAGATCGATCATCTTGTTGGCTTCGTCTACAGGCGCCTTCGCCTCAAGCTGAATAAAGCAGGCCTTCTAGACTTTTCTCTCTCGTCTGGTTTCTCCAAATTGTTCGTTAGGCAGGGGTGCAACTGGTCGAGTAGCGACATCATTCGCTGTCATTTCGATTCATCCGTATGCTATGCAGCTGGACGTATCACACCCTTTGTGTTAGGCTTCTTGACAATAAGGTTTCGACAGTCATGCCGTGGATATGGTGTCAGCTCTGTGAACTTTCTGTGGTCTGATGGAAAGTGACATCTGTCCCGTAATCTTGACGAAACCATGGGCGTAGTCGGGACTCAGGAGCGTTGAGACCTTCGCTGAAGAGATGCGGTACCAAGGACAGAGCTTGTGGCTGGAAGTATTATTGGGGAAAGACCTCTGGGTGCACGGGATGTAGAAACGGCTCGATTCTGGTCGGATTGCTTCCCCAAAAGCAAGAGCCATCGGAGGGCAGCTATCATCGCGGAAGTGAGTGAGTGGTCTTTCGTCAGGCCTTCTCAAATATGTGCGCCATCGTGCAGGAAATTGTGGACGCTCGTCCTGCTGCGGCCTGATGGTAGGCTTCGATTGCAGTCGCCCATGTCTCTTGTATCCAACAATATCAACACACCGCCTGCTGTGCCACTCAACATGTCTCTGAAGCTACCAAAGGTGTACACCACCAGTCCTGGGATGTCCATACTTAGTAGAAATAGATCTGCCACGAAGTGATGGACGACATGCTTCTTCGCCAAAGTAAACAAAAGATTCGATCGATATCGTGATTCGATTGCTTTGGGCTGAAGGGGGGGAATCGCAAAGTGGCTGATGTGAAATCCGACGGGCTTTCCGCAGGTGGCCATGAGCCGGGACTTAGACCGATATTGACGAGAGGGTCTCATGATTCGGTTCCCGATACCTACCGTATGCTGCGCAATCCGTTTCCCTTCCAAGAATGAACAGCTTGACGACCAGAGTCCTGCTCAACGTACATTGATAACACTAGGAGGCATGGAATGTGATCAGACAAGAATGCTTCGATAACGTCCAGGTGTACAGTGACTTCGAATCGTGCAAACTCGATCTCCATAGCTGCGCAGTCAGGCAGCATGGATGCACCTGACGGTGATCTTGCCAGGAGAGAACTTGAAAGTGTCAAATCCTTGAACAGGCGCTTCAGGTGGCAATCCTAGTTCGCTACTTGTACCACGGACAAGACCACAAGTCATATTCTCGAGAGCCCTTACGTGCCAATGTCAGTAGAGCTGCTGTACCCTTCCAGGCATAGACTATAGCATACAGAAGGCTGAGGCGCCAGTTTGCCTGCTTGGTTGACGTAGAGTTGCTGTGTTCGGATCATCGTCTGTCGTTCTCGCATCTCGACCGGTCGTATACTACCATGAAAGTAATTGAATGCCACGGACGGCTCCCAGATCCTCAATCTCCCTATTGAATGTAGTGAATGTTGTGAAAATGCTGGTCACAGAACGCAGCAATGAGTGGTTGCTGACAACAAGGTAGGAGGATGTCAGACCTGAAGCCTCCTATAGACGAGTCAATGGTGTCCTTCTCAGCAGGTAGTTTGGCCAGGCATCAGTTGCAACCGCAGCCGTAGGCACTCCTGTTCATAGTCAGCTCGAAGCAGGACGGGACTTCTCAGTATTTCCCTGTGACTCTGGACTACCACACATGCTCCGGCGACAGAGCACCACCCACTGCACAGCCCTGCATGCGTTTGAAGCTCGGGTTGCGCCGTATTTATTGAGATGAAGTAATAGACAACGGCACCAAGGGAATGTGCCACTTTGGGTCCTGTGTGGATGTCGGCATACCCTTCTCGAGTTGCTGTCGTGAATGTTGCAAATATCTCTGCCCAAAACCCCAGAGTTGAAGCCCTACCTCTTAGCTGGCAATACCACAATTCGCACAAGTCCAATAGTTTTGGTAATGACGGGCACCTATCTCGTCCGCATGCGTGTTCCCCAGATACTAACGTCTTATTCTCTGAAGCAGTGTATGACTGCTCTTTCCTCTCTTTCAGGAGTTTTCGAGATCGAGCTGCGGCCGAGTAGGAGGACCAGAGTATAGAAGTGTATAATAGTGGGAGAAGAAGTAAATCAAACTCTTCAATCGTCCAGTTGAAGCTGAGAATGAGCAGGGAGTAGAAGATAGGGTATGGATGATGAGACGGATAGCGCTCGGGACAGCAAGGGCGACAACAATAGTGGCGAAGGTGGAAATTATGGCGGCGGTAAGCCCGTTGTCCGCAGGATCAATAATAGCGCCAGCAGGGGAGGCCAAGAGCGACGATGGTGGTGGCAGTATAAAGGTCGCGGAGGCGGTGACGACGACGGGGATGATGATCTTGATTAGGTCCGCAGCAAGTAATTATGTTGAAGGTAATAAGAGGAGAGATGATGATGGTGAGAACAACGACGACGGTGAGGGTGACCACGATAGTAAGGGCGACGACAATAATAATAATAGTAACAATAATAGTGATGGCAACAACGACAGCGATGGCAACAACGACAGCGCTGGTAACAACGACAGTGCTGGTAACAACAAGAGTGATACTAATAATAAAGGTGATTGTGACGAGGATGGTAGTAGCAACGGTGACAAGGATGGCTGCGGGGGTAGTGATGGTAACGGCAACAGCAACAGCAACAGCAACTACAATAGGTGATAATAATATACTAGTAGCCAGCGGTAACAATGGCAACGACAGCAAGGGCAACAACGACATGGTCAACGATAGTAAGTCAAGGCAGCAGCAACATCGATGGTAGCGACCATATTTCATCACCACCTCAGATGGCAGCAACGACGAGCATGAGAGACAACTGGCAACATCTACAACTTCTCCCCCAAACCATTGCACAAGGCAGTGAGGATGATGGAAAATCAAAAACGCCAACTCCAAAATCAGACCCAAACTCCCGCAACCGAAATCAGAACGCATCACCAAATCAAAAAACCCTCAGAAAGCCGACCCAAACAGAAAAGCAAACTCCAAAAGACTCAGGCTTCTTGTACTGAGCGCGTCTTCTTCTTTTCGAAAAAGCCATACTTACACCAGCGCAAATTGTAACCCCCGACCAAACCCCATACCATCTCGCCCGGGCCAATGATCCGTCGTCTTGTGACAATCCCCGTCTAACAAACCACCACCCTCTCCGCCACTCTAGGCATACACCCGCCAACCGCGGCAGTGTCTGACGCTGGATGCGTCGCAGTCAGCAGACAACTAACTCATGTCTGAGGGACAGTAAACTGTGTCCCAGGCAGAGGAGCTCGTCGGCCGCGTTCCACGACCCATCTCGCTTGTCATCCACGCTCTGGTGGACGGGGGAATGGTCGAGTAGCGGCTGCTACTCGGAGCGCGTGGCCGGATGAGGCGCCCAGCTATGAGGACTTCCTCAGGCTGGCGGCCGGCTGCAGCACCGAGAGAGGGAGGAGGCGTTCGGACGGGGGGGGGAAGGGGAAGGAACAAAGACAGGACGAGGCGCTGGGGCGCTCTCGAGGGAAGCAGACTTGCTACAGAAACAGCCCGTCTGGACAAGCAGGAGTGAATTCTTGACCGAGATGGTAATGCTGATGTTGGTGTTGTAAGTGAGTCTGGAGAAAGAAGAAAAAACTCCAAAGAAGCGAGGGAAGAGCCGGTACTTATACACGAGAGGCCCCCCCGGGTTGATCTGGGGGAGCTTGCGAGATCAACCATCAGCAGTGTCTACGACGGTTCCCTGCACACGAGTGAGTCACTGATCTCAATTGAGACCCGGTTGAAGAAACAAACTTCAATATACACCTGGAGAGTTCACCTTTGTATAGATCTGGATGGGGCGCGCGCAGGGTGGATCCGTTCCGGACAAAAACGAGGCTGAAACGGGCTGAAACGGAAAGGGGCCCGCGCTGCTCATTGGCCGGACATCAACGACACTCCAAGTTCCCATCCACTTTTCTTGGGACAACCATTCCATGATAAACCTTCGCCGCCCGTTGAAGCAGAACATTAAAGTGCCACGAGTACTCAACTTCGTGGTGGATCGCTTTTGAGTCGTTCTTTTGGGTTTATTGGTTTTCTACGGGGGTGTTGGCAGCGTGGCCCCAGATGAGAATGGATGGGTCGACTTTTGGCAATCTTCCCAATTCATCTACGCTCGCCCAATTTTGACCTGGCAAGTTGCCGACGCTGGGACTATTCTCTCTTCACGCAAGCGGTGGGAGAATAGAATGCAGTCAGCTCTACTGCAGTGATCTGCTGCCTCTGGCTCATGTGGTGTTCAGCATGGTTTGGAAATGCTCAAAGTTTCATCAATCAGAAGGCTATGGTCCTTCAAGGAAGCTTTTGGGAATTGTTGGTCTTTCAGACGGGCCGACGCTTCATTCGCCGGTATACCTCGCACTGATTACTCTTTGGGTCACCGGCCAGCAATGGTACGAATGACTCTATGCTGATATCCACTGATCCAGCCAGACTATCAATTCGAATAATGGAAAAGGAGAAACCAGCCGTTGCTCTCTTCAGAATTACTCCTCTTCTACTGGCTCGTTGCATGTTGGAGCTTGGTTTCCGCACATTTTGGCAGGTAGTTCGTATGATGAATTTGTCAACACTCCCAATAGAAGAGACATGATTGAGCGCCATTGATCAAACCTCTTTCATGTGGCTCATCGGATGCAAACTTTAAGACACCAGAGCTTCGTGCGCCTAGTTTGCACAGCCTGTGCCGCATTGAGACACGTAAGTGGAGGATTGACGTCTCTTGTTGCGAGGCAGCCAGTGAGCTTACCGGAGGAGTGACCAGCCGTTTCTGATGCAGGCTGTAGACTTTCTCGGCCTTGACTTGGAATGCTTCCCTGGTGTATAGTCCATTGCTGTCACTTCCATAGACGATCTATCACATCTCAAACTCTTCTCTGGTTCAGTTACAAGCCACCTACCTACAGCGAAACGTGAACGTGAAGTAACCAGAATACGTGCTTGATAGTCCTCTGGCCTCCAGATTGCAGGCCGACCAGCTTCAGAAAAGGTGATGCTCTACCCACCACTCGTTGGGAGTGGTTTGCGTTCATTGGATGATCCTTTGCGGCTCTGGAAAAGGATGCCGACACCATAGATCGATTCGATAGCTGTACTAAGTTGTGATCGTCTGGTAGGCCCAGTAGCTTTTTCTGCAACGGGTGCTCAGTGAAATTTAATTGGCCCAGCCTCCATTCTAGCTATGTTGCCTTCTCTGAGAGTTCTATGATTGAGGACGTGACCCGTTTCACCCCAGCCTCACTTTCGACCCAAGTGCACAGATTATGATCGACTGCGCTCAGCCATTGTAAATTATGGACCTTCTGAACTCTCATACAGCTGCTGGTAGATCAACCTAATCCGTGCATTGTCAGAGTCATTCTCAATGAATGATCTGCATGGGAAAGACGACGTACTCAGTCAGGCTTGCTGCTGGAACATTGCTTGAAGAATTGCCTTGCCCTCTTCCACGTCATCTTCGTCGTGAATACGGAGGTTGTAGGAAAGCAAGAACTCGTTGAAATTTCTGAAGCCGGCGGCTTTGACCATTTGTTGGATGGACATACTGTTGGCGCTGGATTTGCTAGTTTGGGGGGGGCATTGCGGTGATTTGCAGCCTCGCAGTTGATACACCTTAATAAATGTTGAAGGGCTGGTACACGAATTGGTTGGACGCGGTGGACGGAGTGGAGGTATTGACGGTCTCAAACAGACTGGTGGGAGAAGAAGCTTTATGGTCGACGCGATGAGCGAAATCGGACGAAGGCTGAAGCTGCGCTGAACAAACACGTACTACTAGTAAGTAGGGTGAAGGAGGAACCTCCGAGCAAAACCCCGATCACGTGTGCTCATGACGACCTTACAACGATTATGTCATACAGTCGGTAAGCCACATGCGCCACACGCCATAGTACAGTGAGAGCAATCACGATCGCTTCGAGTATATTTGAGGTATAGAATCGCAATACACGGCTTTCCACAGTTCTAGCGTAAGTGTACAGGAGGTCTGAATCGACAAGCTGGGCACCTGGGCTTTGTGCCACCTGCCTAGATCGGAGGCAAGGCTTCCCGACACACCGGGCAAACCAGCCTCAGATTCATCCAACTTTCTAGGCATTCTGCATGGAAAATGTGCCGGCAGGGCGTGACCATGTAATTGCCCTGTTCAAGCCAGGGCGCTCCGCTGGTCCTTCCAACAGCTCCCGCACGAGAGCCATCAGCCTTAGACACGACCGGGACATCGATCTCGTTCATGCAGATAGCACAATCGAAGACTTTGCGTGTCTTATCGTCCTTATCTTTCGCTTCCGAGGCCGACGCCAAAAGCCCAATAGACATTCCGTTTGCCTCCACATCATCTTCGCGGAGGACTGGGTGGTAATCGTACGCTGGCGGGCACCAGGAGTCACGCACGAGAAGACGAGGCCCGAGGAATCGTTGACTGGCAAGAAGGACGACTTGAAGCCACAGCCAACCTAACAAAACCAGAGCTGCGCTCGGGCTGGTGTCGATAGAGAGAATGTTCTTGTCCGCGACATACCAGTACAGAACCGGTACGGCCCTGAGGATGCTCGCTCCACAGACATATTCCCAGCTTAGCGCCTTACGGCAGTTCCGCATGGTATTGCGGTAAATTTGTGGCCACCAAAACGAAAAGTAGGCGAAAACGAGCAAGTTGGCGTATGCCGAGCGTAGGGTTCGTGGCCAGGACATCGCCCATAAAGAGAAGAACATGAGCATTACTAGTGAGAAATAGAATCGACTGTAAATGGCTGCAAACGAAGCGCGCGAGCTTGGTATCTCGATCGGACCTGGCGTGTCCTGGTCTGAAGGCATGATGATCGGTGTAGCGCCATCACGTCGTGGTGCGGTCGCAGGTAGCGGTAAACCAGCCGTTTCCAATGCCGTGCTCGCTGGAGGTCCCGAGGGTGCTGGTCCTGGAGCCCTAGTTGGATTTGTGGCTGCCCTTCTCTGCCTCTCATGTTCGGCACGAGTGGGATCGCCGACCTGCACCGTCCAAATATCGAAGATGAATTTGACCTCTAGAAAGGCGACATGAATACAGGCCAAGAAGGCGGCTGCAGCAACCATCAAGAAGGCAGCCTCGTCGATCATGAGCAGAGCAACGAGGGCAAAAAGCAGTAAGCCATCCCCCAGCGCAGCAATAACGATGCTCTGGTAAGCGACGCGACTTCGAGTCGACGGTGTCGCTGCCTTCTCCATTTGGCGCTTTAACAGAGCTATTTGGAGCCCGAGCATCATGGTGAACGAGAACAGTAAGCGCTGTGCGAGCCTCCAGTATGCTTCAACTTTGGGACCAAAGACAGCTTCGGATGTCATCAGATAGCCACAGTCGGGAGAGAAGATGACGGCAGAAAAGCTAAGTGGCGGTGGTGGACCGATAGGAGCTCCTTCCGGTTGCTCTAACTCTTGCTCCACCTGATGAAGAAAACGTCTGGTCTCGGTTGGCTTCATCCCTTCAAACAAGTACGGCAATGGCTGCAACCAAACAATCAGTTCGCATTGAGGCGCAAAGGCCAACCCATCAGACTGATCCTCGAAGCTTCTGTCCCATATCTTCTGGACAGTTTCATTCATGACGGCTCTGGAAGCATTGAAACTTGCAGCATCGAGCGCAAATTGCGGGAGCGCAAGCAACGAGTCAAATTTAGAGCTCGCTGTTGTCATGATGATTTGTCCAGATGGAAGATGAACTCCTTGTACCTTGGCCTGCCAACCGTTTCCTGGAGATGAATCGGTCCATATCGAGAGATCGGCCTTGATAGCAGCGGCCGTGTAGGGATTTCGGTCGGGAGAGTCGAAGATGGACAAGCTCAGCTCGCCTTCTTTGTCGGTGATATTCCTCTCGAACCCGAGGGACATGTAGTCCTTCGCCGGATCTATTGCGGACAGATTGAGTGAGGGTGGTGGGCTTGAGGTGTCCGTCCGAAAGACTTTTCCTCGAACCTCCCCTGTAACTTTCTCATAAATGGGCAGGTCTCCGCGGGGGTTGATCCCCTCCCAGGCGTGTTCGTACTGTTTCCGACTCAAGTCTCGCGCAGTGGCGAGCGACTCCCACTGATACCCATCCTCGCGACGGAATCCGGTGAGATTCAGCCACTTGTTTGTCGCGGGATTGAATTGGCCATATGTCGAATTGACCAGGATCTCAAGTTCAGTCTGGCGCCGTTCTTTGATGCGGTCAGTGTCAATTTGAAGATGTCGTCGGGCGGGTTGATCGGGAGTTAGGAAGATGAAGAAGAGCAAGACGACCAGGAAAACGACGCGTGGACCTTCCATCCACCAAGTTGCAGTCCCCTGCTTCTCATCGCGGCCCAGGCCCAAAAAGATATGATAAGGGAAGATCGAGTGGTTGTGGCAAGATAGAGAGATGAGTTCAAGAAAGGGACGTGGTTACGAAGATAATCATACTAGGTAGTGAATGGCGTACAGTAGTAGACGTTGTCCTCTTCGTCCACATTATTATTATGGGACAATTGGCGACTGCGCAATACTACTACTACGTACGTAGTATCTCTCTCTAGACGCGACCTTCGCGCCGGCAGTACTAGTCGTCATCTACTACTGTGTATACCTTTGATCGCAGAATTCACCGCAATCGTCGTTGGTATGATGCATGCCTGTGTAGACGGCGCTCGAAGAGGCACGGACAGCCGTTCTGCATTCCAGTCTACTGTGACCTGCTGAAAAAGACTGCATACCTCCAATCGACCATGGCGGACTCGATGCCCATTCCGCTTCCTCCTCGCACGCCTACACCTCCTCCTGATGAGCCGTCCTCCCTGCAGGATATGCCCGTCTTCGATCCAGAAACTCCTTTGGACTCAAACTCGCTCTCGCCTCTTCACATTGAACAACGCGAACATATGGCATCGCCCGGATCGTCGTACATCTCTCCCACCACTCCAGACAAACCAAGTGCAAATGGAAACGGAGCAGGTCCTTTCAACTTCCAGCCGGCAACGTTGGCAAAGTCGCCTGTTGTAAAATCTGTCAGTGGCTTCCGTCCTGCTTCATTTCTGTCTTATTGTTTCCTACCGCTCAATCCCTCCGTTGGTGCCTACCGCTAACCCAGGCGTGCCATTCCCAGAACATCGGCCAGAGACGCGGCCACAAATACAAGCACAGCAGTGTTTCGCATCAGATCTTCCTCGAACCTCCTCCGCGGGCGCCACTCGCCCTCCCAAATTCCCTCCCGATCCCTACTTTCGCCGAATGCCGAGCAAGCATGACAAAAGATCAGAATATCCGATTTTATTGGAGCATTTGCCATATGGCGGTTGCAGGCTACGCAGCGTGGAATGCCCATGGGTCCGCGGCCATGGAAGCATTATCGCATTTGATCTTCTACGATTCTCTCGGCGCGTTTGTGTGCGTCTTCGTGGAAGTTCTCTCAAACTTCGAGGTATGGGGACGATCAAGTCTAAGGCACCCCTTTGGCTTGCAACGAATGGAGGTTGTTGCTGGTTTTGCTCTCTCCGTGTTGCTGATATTCTTCGGCTTCGACCTGATCTCTCACAACGCGAAACATGCCCTCGAAGGCATTGGGCACGAACCACACCATCCGCACAGCCACGAGCGCGTATCTGCAGGAACACTTGACCTGACCGTCATGCTTGCTTTGATTTCTACGTTAATCTCGGCCGTTGGGCTCCAGAACCACGCCAGGATCGGCAAGGCAATGCGATTTGCGGCCATGGAGAATCTGCCCTCCTTACTGAGCAATCCGTCCCACTTGTTGACGCTATCCTGTTCTGCAACCATCCTCATGCTTCCCCTCCTGTCGCTGCACACCTACGATTGGATAGATAAGGTCCTCTCTATGAGTATAGCCTTGAGCATGCTGTTCCTAGGCGTTCATCTGGGACGCAATGTGGGCGCCATGCTCCTGATGTCGCTCCCTTCAAAGTCGGAAAGCGTCGCGCAAGTCGTCAAGGCTATCGAAGCCGAACCCTTGGTGCGCAGTGTGGAACAAGCCAAATTCTGGCAAGCACATTACGGCATGGGCATGGCCAACTTGCGACTTCGTGTTGTTGGCACGGAGGAAAATTTGGTGAGGCTGAGAGAGAGGATATCCAGCATGATTCGCAACCATCTCAGCGGTGGTTATGGGCAAGGGAGCACTGGCCAAAAATGGGAGGTCAATGTGCAATTTAACGTAGAGACGGAAAGCGCATTCTCTGCGAGCCACAATCATCTGGTGTCCGGGCCAGGCTGGACGCCCAACTGAAGCAGACTCTGCTTCTTGTACCTATAGCTGGTTTATGATTCATGACGGTAAATGTCCAGTTGTTGTCGCAGCCTATTATCCTCGGTCTTGTTCCACGTTGTGAAACCTCCCAGATCCCCGACAACAGCGCCGGTGACTGTTCTCCTTCGGTGGACTCCCAGGCGATAGCTGGTATCGACCTCAGATTGTGGCGGGAGCGAGAGCAGGATGGCATCGACATATAACAAAACCAACTTGACCATGGTTCGCTCCACGATCCTGCTGCGTATTATTGCGAGCATATTGCCGAGGGGGACGAGCATGTCCCTTCTATGCTGGGTAGTCATCGATGCTGATATGTGGCACCGAGTGAGCATGCCAGACTAAGCGATGTTCGACAATCGTTCGTATCAGCGGCTGCGGTACGCTCGTAGACGCCGACCCATCGCAGGCGAACCGATCTCCTGGATATCCTTCAGGGCATTTTCACCGACATTGTGGCTTGTCTGAGAAGTGCTCCCTCCATCGGAGCAATCTCCACAGCACCGACTTCCTGGATCTTCTCCTTCAGAGTCTTCAACAGGGTCTCTGCCTCTTCCGTGGAGGCTTTCCTCTGGCGCCTCTTGGAAGCGAGCAGTATTTCGACCTTCTTGCCCTTCCGCAGAAAATCCTCCATCTGCTTCAGCTTGAGTTGCAGGTCGTTGTTGCTAATGGCCCAATTGACCTCGATTTGTTTGGGTCGCTTCTCTTTCTGCGCATGCTGGACACGTCGTTGCGCGGCCTCCTTGTCCTTGATCTGTTTGATCAGATCTGAACGCTGAACCACTTGCACGATGGCAAGATCATGCTCGCCAGGTTTGCTGAGTTGCAGCACATGACTCGTCGTGCGGTCGAGTGAATTCAGGACTCGGCGCAGGTCGACCGGCGAGGAGATTTTGCCGTCAGGAGTCTTGACGCGAACTTGGTGGGTATCGATCTTCTCATCAAGGGGAAATTGTGCAAGCTTGTCGTCGATGGTCACAATCTGCAGCTTTCCTGCACCTCGTCGATGATCGGCAGCGAAGTATGAGGGCGAGGTGCCGAAGTGCCTTGCTTGGAAGCGGGAGATCGCAGGCTTCCCAGCAGGCGCCGTAGCCCGCAGAAGCGGTCTGAGCAAGACTGACAATCGCTGCATCCACCGTCGACCTGTAGAGGCCACAACCAGACAATGAGGTAGATGGCAGGACGTGGTAGTCATTCGTAGTGTCCTAGTAGTGTACTGCAGTTGTTGGTAGTAAAAATAATTAGCATCTCTATAGACTCCTTCAGCATGCGCCGATTCGTTCGCCTCCGACTCTCCCCCTGAACGACAACTGTCAGCTTGCACCCTACTAAAGGGTCCAACAGTCCAACTCGAACGCGACATTTCCGCATCCGACACACCAAAATCTTCATGGCTGCGTGTCCTATCAGTCCTTGAGTTCTTCAACTCTTTCCAAACCCCTTCTTCCTCGGCTCAGACACGCGAGTTTCTGAGGCTTTGCCCGCGGTGACGTTCGTTTTCTCTGTTGCCTGTCCATGTCACCTTCGTACAATACGTCTGACCGATCTGGAATCTGGTCCTACGTTCCCTTCGGCTCCTCCCCGCGTCGCCGATCCGTTTCCAGTGGACTTCCTCTTCGGCACTCTGGCAACAGTGACTCCAAGGACCACAACGCTCCTTGGGACCCCTTTGAAAAGTCCGATCGCCGGACAGGAGGCAACGGCGCGAGCCACCCTTCCACCCTGGAGTCCATACAGAACGCCTGGATGACTCAAAGTCGGCAGGCGCGGTACTTGAAGACCGGGGGTGTCTTGACCCTGATCGTTCTGTTGTACTGGGTTTTCTCAGGCGGGAGCAGCTATTCCGCCAGTAACAATGTCTACACCCCCGATAACTCTCCGACAACGAGATGTACGAAGCCTCACGACCTTTCCAAGCCGCTCGTCCAATATGCTATTATGATCGATGCAGGGAGCACAGGGAGCAGGATACATGTCTACAAATTCAACAACTGCGGGCCTACACCCGAGCTAGAGCATGAAGAATTCAAGATGACAGAAAAGAAGTCCGAGGGTTCTGGACTGAGCTCATACAAGACGGACGCAGAAGGTGCAGCGAAGAGTCTGGATCCTCTTATGGAGGTGGCCCTGTCGACTGTTCCGGATGACTACAAGTCCTGTACCCCGGTCGCCGTCAAAGCCACAGCAGGATTGCGCCTTTTGGGTGACGAGATGAGTGCCAAGATTCTCAATGCCGTCCGCACCAGGCTGGAGACAAAATACCCATTCCCCGTGGTCTCCAAGGAGAAAGGTGGCGTGGAGATTATGAAAGGAGAAGACGAAGGGGTGTTTGCATGGATCACCACCAACTATCTTCTGGGCAAGATTGGAGGACCCGACGAGACACCCACTGCGGCAATATTGGATCTGGGCGGCGGATCCACGCAGATCGTCTTCCAGCCGACTTTTAAGAACAGTCCGCATGGAGGCATGCCCGAGAAGATGGCCGAGGGTGACCACAAATACAACCTCAAGTTTGGCGGGCGAGATTTTGAACTATATCAGCATTCGCATCTTGGATACGGACTCATGTCTGCGCGCAACGCCCTCCACGCCTCGGTCCTGGATCACATGCACAAGCAGAACCCGAACTCAAAAGCCTGGCTCTCCAAACCCATCCCAAACAGTTGCATCATCCCAGGCATGCAGAAGAAGATCAATGTCACGATGCCACCGGATCACGAGCTTGCAGGGGAACGCAGTGTGACCATGGAAGGCCCCGTTGACGCCATCCCAGCACAGTGCCGGGCTCTGGCTGAGGGAATCCTCTACAAAGACAAAGCCTGCACCCTGCATCCGTGCTCGTTCAATGGCGTCCACCAGCCCTCACTCGACAAGACCTTTTCGCGTGAAGACGTATATATCTTCTCCTACTTTTATGACCGGACTCATGACCTGGGCATGCCCGAATCTTTCACGCTACGAGAACTGCTCGACCTGACGGAGAAAGTGTGCGGCGGTGAAAAACATTGGAACGCGTTTGAAGGGGTTGAGGGAGCGCTTACGGAGCTGCGCGACCGGCCCGAATGGTGCCTCGACCTGAATTTCATGTCGGCCCTGTTGCATACTGGATACGAGATGCCCATTGATCGGGAGGTGAAGATTGCGAAGAAAATCAAAGGCAACGAGCTGGGATGGTGCCTTGGTGCTAGTCTGCCATTGCTCGAAAAGGAGAGCGGCTGGGAGTGTCGCATCAAAGAGGTCACCAGATGAGATGGGCTCTGTCTTTTGCGGAACTGCTCCCGAGATGTACAGGTTGGTTTATGGAATGGGCAGGGCGGTACATCCACGACGATGCGTGCGGATTCAGGCTTCCCAAGAAGCACTGACCGCCTTACAGAAGTTTAATGGCTGGCACGGATTGTTAGAGTAAATAGAGGCTGGCATTGATATTGCACAAGAGATTGCACAAGAGGATTAGGTTCGGTTCGATCTGAACAGCACAGAGAAAAGAAAAGCATTCACTACGTGACTTGCATACTTGTAAAGCTCCATGATCTACTCCATCGTCTTCTGTCGGTCTGCTCTATGGCAAGCAAAACCATCCTAAAGCTCAGCGGACCATTCGATGTCACAATGCTTATGTCGCAACCACCCAATGCTCTCCGGGTTGACTTCACTCGTTTTATTTCATTGTTTATCTTTAGGAGAACCATAGTCTTGTTCTTGACTCCTCGGACGCCATCGCTGACACGATGAATGGTCTTCGCAAAAGATGAAAAGAACGATGTTCCAGTGTGCTCTCAACACGGCAACGGTCGGCTCCAGAAGTGACCCCATGTACGCCTCTCTTTCGCCCAGATTCTAAGTTCAGCTGGCTTTAAAAACCCCCTCTGCCCAACAGCTCGTCCCCAACTTCTTTCAACAGCGGCTCGCTCTTCACCTCGTCGCCCAAATCTCGGCCATTAGATTTGATCTCCTTGAGCACCTCTCTCAGGTCCATCGCTTGACATAGGTCCCAGAGCATGTTTTCCGGCGGGGCAGCGTACAGTAACATACCGAGGGCCAGGAGCAGAGCGTGTAACGTTTCCTTGAGATTGGCATTGCCCTTGGAGTTCGTCGAACTGGTCACGGACGCCAGCGACGTGATAGATTCGAGAAGGGCGGCCGAGAGGTCGTCGCTGGGCATGGCAGACTCCTCGGCTACAACAGCAGAGGTGGTCTGGGCATGGATGCGTTGGTTATGGCTGTACGCGGCGAGGTTGTACACAAGTGCCGCGGCAAGGAGACGGGCATTTGCATGCGGGGAGAGCAGGCATTGCGATGCCAGCGACTCGATCATCTGGTTCAGATCGCCTGGATTTGACTCTGCGTTCTGTCCGCGAAAGACACGCTCCTGGAACACGTTC